AACGTTAACCGCAATGGAAAGCCGATCCTTGTCGAGTGGTCATAGGGTGAAAAAAGGAGAGGGAATGAAAATTAAAAAATGTACGCAAAGAAGTAATGACGATGAATGAAAGTTGGAGATACAATCGGTCATCAACCGATGAACGAAGAGACAGTCAAGACAGTCGAACCGAAACGGTCGACGCCACTAACACTCGTTTATTCCTACCACCAACGCCACCACCACCACCATCCTCCTCTTGTCCTTTTTATGCTTGTATATATCTCGCGAGGTCTCTCGCCAGTTGGTAGCGCGTTGCCAAGCGAAGTGGATGAGTTTGTAAATACGCTATCTAAATCTTCGTGTTCAAAAGTTTATCTTTTTTATTACGCGAGTGATTGTATTTAAATATTATTAATTAAAAAAATATATCTTGTTATTATTATAATATTATTTTAAATATAATATAAATTACATAGTAATTATATAAATATATATTTATAATTAATGATACTTTGAATGTTGTGTTAAATATTTTCAAGTTATTGGCAGTTTTTTTTTTAAAATCAAGATTGTTGTAAAGTAAAATACTATTTATTGAGTAAGTGCCGCAGAGAAACTGTGTTGCTATTCCAAACGGATATATTTATTATTACATGCAAAAGTACTGCAAAAAAAAGTACATTTTATACTCACGTTTCGGTGAGTAAGTTTTAAGAATTTTTTCCTTCTTAATGATTTTCTCTTTCTTCTCTTATTTAGAATTTCATACATCTTTCTTTTCTTCTGTTTATTTTTTGTTATTCTGATAACTCTAAACTTAACGGTACAAAAGAATCTTAAAGTGATGGTGAAGAGCAAGCAATATTCGTAGAAAAGTGAGAAGAAGGAATGCGCATGCGAATTCTTAGATATAGTAAAGCTGATGAACATTTTAAATTACAAAGCCACCGTATATAATATAATATTATATGTATATAGTTACTTTATACACCGTCTTTTTGTTTTCCAGAAAAGCCGGTTTATTTTTTTTTACTCATATCTCGATCACATAAAGATTAGGGAGAATTTTAAGAAGCTGTGTTTATTGGTCCATTATTAGAATCCTGTCTGTGAAGCGTTATTCGCCATTTTGAGAACGGATAACAATCAATGGCAATATGTAAAAGGAATATTTTCAAATTCCGCGTTTCTTTTTAAAGCTGCATTTTTTTTTGTCATCTTCATCACTTTCTTCACATACACGCACTACTGCCATCTCTTTGTCCTGATTTTTCACAATTAGTAGTAGGCTTTGTGTGCCCATTGTGTTCGAAAAAATGTATGTACCTGGAGAATAAGAGGATCACAGGCTCTTTTTCATGACCAGGCACAATTGTGTCAGTTGGGTCGAATAAAGAAAGGTGTGGAGACAGTATAAAGTCTCATACCTTTACTTCGCTGCTGTTGAAAGTTTTTCTTCACATTCTTATATTCAGGAATTCATCCTTGATTAAATTACTGGAACTAGTTTTAGTGATTTATCGATGAATTTCGTTTTTTTATTTTTTTTTCGCAACGTAAATCATATCAGTGGAATAATATACGTGATTTTAGTCAAGCTAAGATCACTGCACTTTGCTTGTGTAATTCAAGTGTCTTTCTCTTACTTCAATACACACAAATGGACAGGATTTACATATTAAAATATAGAAAACAAGATTTGTTATTAATCCAATTCTTGACATTGGATTTAGATATGTTTTTTAATTGCAATTTAACAACACCATCATTATTCTCATTCTTATTTGTTAAATAACTTTTAAATATAATTAAAAATAAATGATCACTAATAAAAAAAACATTATTTAGATTTAATTCTCCTCTGATAATCTGTATTAATTGATTTTTATGATAAATTTTGGCCTGGAAATAACAATGATGTGTCTTCAAAATTGACGTGTCATGTTAAAGCTATTTAAAAAAGATTTTCTAATAGCCATCATTACTTGATATTTCATTAAATTTTTCCACATACATGATAAATCTTATAATTATGATATATGAAATATTTTGATAAAACTCAATAGCACTAAATACGTTAATTATAAATTCAATATTGTAATTAAAATTTTGCTCCATTTTTTGATTAAAAAAAAAGACAATTATTTTTCTTTAAAAAAAAATTACTTCAACAAGCATGGAATTTTTTTATCAATACTTGTGCTATTAAAATAAAATTTCCTACTATTAGATTAAAAATTTAATCACAGTAATTAATCCATTGAGTCGACTTAAAGAAGAATTTTAAGCTTCATATTCTATTAATGTCTTGTACAAAACATGAACGTCATTAAAGTATTTCATTGTGCATTATCATTTAACCAGTATTTTATATTTCACGACCATATGGTCATTATTAATCACTTTTATTAACACCAATTAAATTTTAAAAAATTATTTTTATATTTATTAAATATTTTATTAAAAAAAATTAAAAATCCATTTACTTGAGGAGGAAGAGAAAGGTTTGAAGGGAAAAAAAAACCTAAAATTAATGAAGATTTGAACAGAATGTTAAGCTTTCTTCCCACACCATACCGTGTAGTACATGAGTGCAATTTAACATCAAGATACTTGATTGCGATAAACGTAGGCGAATATTAATGCCCCAATACTACACATTGAATATATCCAGACCGACGAAAAATTCGCCACATAATTTCCAATGACATTTTCATGAGCTGCAAATGCTTAAACCATCATATATTTTATTAATCTATTCATTGTACATACAAACAGATATATACAAATGTGTGATTATAAAAATTAACACCTTCTTCATGACTTTTCACGATTGTAACTTTTCTCTAACAATTGCCATTACCTTAAACACTACCTGTCATTTTTTGTAACATATAATCAATGTTTTTATTTAATACCTATTGAGTATGTTTGATTAAAAAAATTTTTTGGAGTAAAAAATAATCATTGATGAGTGAATTAATCTGCATTTAAAATTCAATTATTGAGTGTGAATAGAGTTTTTAATAATGATGTTTTATTTTTAGACAACATAGTATTACAAATAATTGTAGAGTGATGTATTATTCTTCAATTAGAGAAAATTGTTGTTCAATCATAATTAATAGCTATTTACAAGTCTATTTGTCATTAATAGTGATTTATGCTTAGCTATAAAAAATTAATGTCTAAATAATTTCATATTTTATTTATTTTAATTATTATTTCACACAAAAAAAATATTTTTTTAATTTGCTTTTATTTATTGTTAACAAACTAAATCTGATTTTCGATTATTGTTTACTGAAGACTATAATCTTTTTAATAAAAATTCTATACTGACAACAATAGAAAGATATAAATGATTTATGAATGAAAAAATTATCACTAAATGGTACTATTGCTATTTATTATTGTTGCTTGTTAATTGTTATTGTATTATTAGCTATAAAGGATTTAAAAAAATAATTCCATTATCATTACAATTTGATTGAGTAATCAATATCAATTTTAACTCCAAAATATTTGATTAATCACTTCCTTTAGCTAGAAAAAAAAATTGAACTCCTCTGATAACGGAGTAATTTTATTATCGATAAGTAATACTATTCAGTCTACAAAAACAACTTTTATTTATTTTGGTGAGCTTGTTTTTTGGCAACATCATACAATAAAGAGTTCCTAGAAGTTGTAGTGACATTTGTATATAGTATTGATGAATTATAGATAAGAGATGAATCCATAAACAGAAGTGATAAGGATTGAATAGATAAGAGCGATTATGACCTTATAAAATTTAATGAGGAAGAGGAGTATATTACGTGATGGTGTACGAGAAAAAGTATGAGTAGAGTTTGGTAGTAAAGGGCATGATGGTGAGAAACTTGTACATAGTGATGATGAGTAACGCTATTCAACTGTTTCCGAATCAAAACCGACTATCTCATAGACTTTAATTGATGTTGCTGTTATGTTTTACGCTTCAAGAATGCCGAACAAGTTTGGTAGGATACTACATGCCCTATCATTGCTTGAACAAGTATCATACTTTCTAATGATTGATCTTTTTTACGCTGACTTGTCATCTATCAGAGTGAATAATCAGAATTAGTTGATACCTTGTACATATATTAGTCCTTTTTCTCGATGAAAGTGACTTTCTTCTCGAAGATGGGCAAGGGATATAAAATATAGGGTTTGGAATAATATTCTGGCTTAATTTTTAAAATAAACAAATTAATATTAGACGAAAAAGATGCTTCTTTAGGAAGGAAACAAAGGAAAGTCTTTTTTTCGTCTTAATTTTCACAGGTTTTTTTAAACAATGAATTAAAAAATTTTTGTATAATAATACGCTCTTTTATATGCAGGAAATAATAGCTTGTTAGGTAGAGCTTAAATCTCACCTTTTGAATAAAGAAAAGTCATGGTTTATAAAGAATTAAATGCTTTCCTACAAAAAAATAAGAACCAAGTAAACTTGGGTTGAGATTCTTAAATTTTGAATGCATTAATTTTTATTTATTAAACATTAAAAAATAATTTTCTTTCAAGAAATGCAAAAATGATTAATTATTTATGTGTGCAAATTAAAATTTTATAACACAACCTGCTTCTCATCAAGTTTCAAGTAACATATTAATTATTCTAATGAACTTAAACATTGACAGTGTGTGTGTGTTAATGTAAAGCTTCAATTTGTGTCAAACACGGTCTTGGTAAGCCGTCTACCCTGTTTCTCAACAATGCCTGATTGAGTTTTGCACTTCAACGTTACCGCAAACCAGTGTAATTGGTCTATGTGTGAACGATTAGTTAGAACAAAATGAAGAGAAAATTCTTGAGTAAATTAAGCCTCGTTTCGTTGTTATTCCCTCCTCTTTGTTGCCCTCTTTAATAATCTTCATGACCTCATTTCATTCCTAACATTCTTTTACTATCATCTGTAGAATTTTTCCAGCCTAATTCACTCAGAATTGCTGAATAAGCAGTCATAATAAGTAACTGTATTGTTTCAGGCGACAGAAATTTGGTGATAAAGTTGAAGGCCTAATCCTTGGGAAAGTAAATTATCTCCAAAAACGTCATCGTAAATAAAAACAAAAATGGGAGCACGGAATAGCAAAAGGTCTATGGATGTTACTACAACACCAAAGAAAGAAGGAGTTGCTGAAGGTGGTGAAACGCCTGCCGTTGGTGATGGAAAACTCGAAAGGATCGAGGAAGCAGATGCGAAACCAACTACTAATGGTGTCGCACCACATACTGATGCACCAGAAGATAAAGACAATGAGAAGGAGAAGGATTTGCCAGAAAAAGAAACAAACAAGGTACTTTTATTTTATTTGAAACATTACCTCCAGGTAGTTTGGTATTGACAGGCTCACAATTGACAAGCCTAATCTCAAAGATTATATTTTTATAAATTAAATATATAAGCTAAAGTTTTTCTTTTATTTCTCATCAGTAGCTACTGCATTTAATTTATAAATTATCATTAAAAATTATATACACACACTATGTAGAAAATTGTTTGATAAATTTAACAAAAATCATCTCCAATATATGGATGTCAAACTACTTTAATATTGCAGTCAATGAAAAAATTTTTTTTTTAGACTTTTATTAGCTCCATTTGGAATAGAGTCGTAGAGTAGATATAAAAAATATCTGATGAATAATTTTTTTTTTATCTTATTTCGTTTTGTTATATCGACACAGACAAGTTCCGATGAATATACATAATGTCTTTACTCACAATAGAACTTCTTGAAACTTTAGAATATAATTCTATTGTTCTTCATCGACGCAATAAACAATCCTGAATAATTTACAATAAATCATTCCTTCATTTCTTCGTATTAATCTCATTATTTTTATTTAAATGTCCAGTTAGATATATTTTTTATTATTTTATAATCTAATATGTAAAATTATTATTCATATTTTTATAAAACTTTCAAGTGTTATGTATTTATAAATAATTCATCTCAAGTCAAGTAAAAGTTAATTTAGCTTATACAGCACCTAAACAGCAAATAAGTAGTATGGAAGAATTTAGATTAAAAAGTTCATACCACAGATAATCTGTTTAACAAAACACGTCATCTGAAGCTCAATGTTGTCACTTAGGAGTTTGAATTAGCCATCTGCTGTGTCATATGAAAGTATAGTTAGGCACCAAAATATGTCATCAAGAATGAGAAAACAACTATTTGAAAAATAACAAAAACATTTCGCTTTCATGTTTTGAATATGACAGACGTAAATTCAGTTTGGTCAGTAAAATGTACTGGTGATATGCTAAACTTTGTTATGCATATATCCTTGGAGAGAGCATTCAGTCCTTGGAAATATTGTAAAAGATAACTTGCTGATAGTCTCGAGAAATAAGGATAAAATGTCGGAAAAGTTTACGACTGCTACATTTGTAGCTTTATGGTTTTATAATAATAAAAAAAAACATATCTAATATTTTAATACGCGAATAAATACATAATAATTCAACAGATATTTTCGAGTGAAATCTCAAATGTATGTAAAATAAAAAAAACAACTATCAAAGATCAAAGAACGAAGACTTTTAAGGAATGATACTTTTTCGTTTTTTATAATGGAAAATTACTAGCCATTTTTTAGTAGTTTTTTTTTCTGTGTAAAACAGCACAAGTCGATAGCAGACTGCTTTTTCTCATTTAGCACATTAAAGAGATCTTGAGATAATCTTTTCTTTTGTATCGCTTGCAGACTCTCTCTCTCTCTCAAGTAATGAAGAAAAGAATTTTTAATTTCTTAGTAAGATTATCCATCTCCACAGAATCGATTTATTTATATTTTTACAATACTTTCTTTGTCGATATTGAAATACAATGCTAAAAAATTTAATTATCATCTTCCTTAAAAATAAATTGTATTCAGAATCTAGCAGGAAACTGGTGGTTTCCGAAAATTACAGTTGTAATTTAAAAAAAAATAATTCGATGATATTTTATTAAAGAAAAATTTTAGTTTATGAATAAATTAATTTAATTTATAGAATACTTTTTTATTTGCAAGTAATATTTTATTATTACAATTATAAATAAAAAGTTCATTGATATAATATGAAGCTAAAAATAGTCCAATACAATATTGTTAAAACCTGATATTATTTTTAAATAATGAAGAATTGTTTGTTTCATTGCAAGTTTAACGTTTGATAATTCATTGCAAATCACGTATCAAGCCTTCAGTATTGCATACTAACTCTAAAAGTTGATTTCCAAGTGCTTCCTTTGGTCAGCGAATCGATTTCTCTTCCTCATGTGTTTATTCTTTATGAATTGGCTGGACACAGCGTCGCCAATCGTTCATTATCCTTGCAGACCTTGAGGCACCACTTTTGCGTTGTATATTGCATTTATTTCAATAATGCATTGTATTTGTTCTACAATTGTTGGTTGTAAATTGAAAAATTGTATCATTTATCTTTGTAGACTGAAAATCATATGATTCATCGTAAAACATGATATACGCTAATAATGAATGAAATATAGAAAAAGGGAGTGAATAGAAGAAAGTGAGTAATGGTGATGAAAAAAGATAAAAATTATCCTCGTTATGCTATAACGATAAACTATTACGTTCATTCATTTATTTCCTTATTTTTTAAGAATAATCCTATTTTTCTGCCAATCTTTATTTATTTATTACAAAATAAATCAAATTAGAGTTTATAAAAATTATTTTTAACGCCTTTTTTCCTTCAAGGAAAATAAATAATTGCGGTAGAAATATTAATACATTAACATTGTAAAATAACAATAATTTTCAATTGAATTGAATAATGTTCGTTTCGGATTATGAAAAAAATTTTTTGACACAAAAAGATGATGTTCGTGTTACATACGAACGAAAGATCAATTATCTGCACGCGGATTATTCTTCAACCGAAAAAATGCTTCATTCTCTCCTTGAAATACTTTGCGTGTTTGGTTGTCCCAACGAACTTGACTCATTTATTTTTACCCAAATTTAAAGTGGTTCTCTCACAAAGAAAATCATGACGATCATCCCCAAAAAACTTTCCAAATTGATGGCCACTTTTTCGTATCGACTAAGAACTTATATTACGTCACGTGATTTTAGTGATTATTATAGTTATGATTTTTCGGTTCAACATTTATTTAATCGTTTCTCAAATTATTTATCTCTTTGATATATACAGGATAACATAAAAATTATGACCAAATAAATAGGAGATTTGTAGCAGAGGATTATATTTATTATAATATAAATTAAGTAACAATTAAATAAAAAGTCAGAATGTGTTAATAAATTGTTCAAAATATGCAAGAATAAATTTTTAAGGCTTCAAATTGATTAATTTTATTGAATTGTTGAAAAATGGAGACAAATAGGGCAGAATAATTATTCTTTTTACTCTAATTTTCACAACATGTAAATATTTATTAAAAATTATAACATTAATTTTAAATTAACGTAAATAAGTATCTGCTTTAATGATAATAGTAATTACAACAATCATAACAATAGCAGAATATTATGACTCCAACGTGCGTGAAATGTGCACACTGAACTACTTGTGAATAAAAAATTTCTCAGAAAAATTGTTGTCAAAGAACAATTTGAAATTTCAACAATTTAAATGATCATTACGTGTAAATGAAACTTTACTTTTATTACTTCCTCTAAATATTTTATTTATTTAGCATTTTTGCAATAAAATGATTCATTCTTCAATAAAATTATCAGAGTATTGTGTACATTTTTCCTTTCGTTTGGCCTACATTTCAACTGAAAAATTATTGCTTATACTATATGTCAGAAAAGAAAGATTAAATAATTTTTTTTTTCTTCCAATAAATGATGACTGGATTTTTTTTATCTAAGAAACGCAGTAAATGATAACAGAATGACACTTTACAACTATCGTGTTATTAACTGTCTGTTCAACTTAGTGTAAAATATGTTTACAGCAGATTGCAATGACTCTGTCTACGACAATTCTTCTCTTTGTTTGTGGACATAAATCGATAATGTAACAGAAACACTCAGTCCAATAATAGATTTTCATGCCAAAAAATAATTTAGTCTAGTAGACAATTACAGATTTTTTCAGTTAATTACTCAATTACTCAGAAAGATAACAAATAACGTCTGATTACGAGAAAAATTTATAAACTCTTCTCTATCAATCTTTAATCAGATTAAATTAATTATTACAAATAAATCATCTCACGAAAACAATTCACTTTCTTCTATTACCTCCATAATTGATGATGTTAAAGATTATTGGTCCAAGTGAGGAGCAAACCTTTTCATGTTTCGATAAAGCTTTTTGATATTGTTCAAATCCCTTCAGGGACATTCAAAAAAGCTTTTCTGATAAAAGAGCTTTAAGAGATTGTTTAAAGAAATATTTATCTTTTGAATCTATTTATCTATTGGATAATAAAAAATTAATTTCTACCACGTCTATCAAATTAAAAATGCTTCTTAATGACTTGGTAAAAAAATTCAATCAAGTTTCTTTCATTTATATGATTCCTAATAAATTGAATATATAACATAACTTAGTTTTTATTGACGAATAAAAGTTTCTATTTTAAATTGATTATGATAAAAGTTCTATATCACATCCATCAACATGAGACCACTATCTAAAATGTTCTAAAAAAAGTCTCCACACTTCTCCTTTCATTTTCCATCTTTTTGTGTATTTCGAATAACAGACTTTCTCTTCTGTTAGGTGTATCAATCATTGTAAGGTTTCCTTTGATCGAGATATGATATGAGTCAAAAAGATAATAATACTCAAGATGTGTCATACAACATCTTATGTATCACAGATTACTTGACGGATATTTTATTATTTTTTTTTAGAAATCAACCAAGCAATTTAGCGAGAAATTTTATTCGATCAATTTATGTATGTTTCCTTCATATACCAAAGCAGTATAGATTATACGGTCATTAAACATGTAATTTGTTAACTTTTTAGCGCGAAGCCTTGGATTTTCTTTTCAAGTAACAACATCGACACAGTACCTGCTCTTCCATATCTTTGCCGTTACATGCAATTACTGTACACAGCTTTACGTGGAAATGATTCCTTCATTTTATTACTATGAGTAAAGTAAAAAATAGAAGTATGGTTTATGCTTCTATATATCTTTTGTTAACTTTATCTCTAGGTCACTGACGGTCATTTTGTTACACTAGAAGCATCATTATATTCACCAAGTGATAAGTTAAAAGATAATTAGCTAGAAAATTCAAAAAATGCATAACTCAATAGAAGAATTTTAATTAAATCCTTCTATGTGAAAATATTCAACTATTAAATTTATTATTTTTAACTTTCTCATGAATTCTTCAGTTTGATCATTGACTGAACATTAATGTTATCAATCATCTAGACATTTAATAATTAATTGTTTAATTACAGACCGAGAATGAGACTAAACCAACGGAAGAATCTTCGCCTGCAGAAGCACCAGCTGAGGCACCACCAGCAGAAGAAGAACAAGTTACGACACCTACTGATGAGACGAACACCAGCACTATTTCTGCCAGTTCTCCTGAGTCTAAAGAAACAATGAAAAAAGAAAAGGTATTTTTTTGACAAGTTGTATTTGAATGATTTATTTATGCAAATAAAGTTATATTTTGAATTACATTACTTGTTTAGTCTTGTAGATAATTATTTAATCGCTATTTTGGTTTCTAGTCGAAGAAGAAGTGGTCATGGAGATCAATAAGTTTCAGTAAAAAAGACAAGAATAAGCCAGTACGAGAAGAAACACCCAAGAATGGCGATGTCAGTAAAGACGAATCACTGGCTGAGGTAATTTATTAGAGAGTTGATATTTTTAATTCTATTTCTTAATTTAAATCGAAAGTAGACCATGGGAACACTGGTTCAATTGACTTTTTGAACTATAAATAAAAACAAATATTCCAGTTTCATAATAGATTATTTCCACTGTCAATTTTCATGACAAAGTCGTCATTTAAAATTCAAATAAGTCTTTAAATGTAAAATATATCGGTTGTATATATCGTAATCTGTCAGCTTAACAGGCAAACGAACATGATACATCAAGATGTACAACAGATCATGTCTTTGATTTTTTCAAATTTTTTTCTTTGAAAAAAAAAAAAGAACAAAATATTTTCTATTTCTCATGCTCAGGGATAGCCGTAAGACTCTCAGTTCTTGTAACGGTTCGCTAATAAAACAACAAAGAAAGCTTTATTATTTGTTTAAGTACTAGTTGTGAAAAAAATTGGTTAAAGTTCCGGGTAGTCATTATTTTGCTCGTCAATCCTTTCTTTTACATTACCTGCTAGACTTTTAGTCTACATAACAGTTGGAGAATTCTAGTCGTAAAAATTTTCATGTCTTCCTACACTAATATTTTACCGTACACTTCTCTCTGCTAGTAATCTACCTGTTGTAAGAATTAGCTACTCAGTGACTATATCATCTAACTAAGCTAAGCATTGTTTCCAAGAAACGACATGAATATAATTAAAAACAAAACTAGTCTATTGTTTGAAATTTCTTATTGTTATAAACAGTAGAGATAAAAATAATAATCATTCAAGTCTGATGAAGAGCATATTTAACACGACAAGTAAAAATAAAAACAATGTTTATTTGGGGGAATGTAAATTCTCATGTCTTGAATTTTAAAAAAAAGTCAGGTCAAACATGATTCATCGTTTTGGCCTCTTTTTCTTTTCTCGGTCCATCCTTCAATCATCCTGGTAATATTGATCCTGCTGTGCCGTCCTTAAAAATTCTTCTAAATATTTCCTCATGCCTTTTTGATCCTAGTCAATTTTTTGATGGCTAAAAAACCACCAGCATGCATTGAGAAACTAGGGTAGATTGATGTGTGGGTCACACAGGCACTTTTACATATGTTTGATTTTTACAAACTACGTCTGGATACCTGGTCTGGTATTGTAACGCTCGCAAAGTGGAACTGGGAGTGGCCGAGAGAGCTTTAAGAGATATAACAATCAGGAACAACTGATTCCCTGACAGTAACGCTTCACTTAAGAGCTTAACTACTAAACTACGTCTGAATATATCGATCTCTCTTAGATTTCTCTTAAACCATCCACTTCCTTGAGCCTATTCTTTCTCGCTAATCAGTTAAATATCCTCGCCATTCAAGTGTATGCGTAAATTAACTAGAATTGTTTTTGCAATTGTATTACAAATCATCTCATCTCATACCATCAGTTCTGACATTCATTTCAGATTTAATGACTTGCAATTAACGCTTAAAGGGTAATAGTAAAAATAAAATTCTAAATACAATTATAAGATAGAATTCATTTTGATAAACAAGAAAATAACTACAACGTACCAACAAGCATTTAGTCAGCATTCCTTCATTTATTCAATAATTGTGTTAATTAAGTTTTAACGCCTCGATCCTTTGAACTAACCGTCTTCTTCAGCATTTTCACTTAATTAATTATATCTTTTGGGGTTCATTTATCTGATATTGGTAGACATTGAAATGTAATTAGCGTGTATTTAATTACTCATCGAGATATTGAATTTATTCTAGATTTTGCATTTTATACAATTAACTGACGTTACTTAATGAATTGTAAACTTGAAAGTTTGCCTACAATACTGGCGACTAGGCTAACATTCAGTATTCCTTTATATTGAAGTTTGTTCTATTTTTCTTTACAAGTTGATACTGTTTTCTGAAGTAGAATAATTTAATGAACGTCAGTATAGTTGACTAATAGAACATTTTCAACAGATGAATCAATAGTTTCAACGGTTAATTCAATTCCTACCCTTTACAAATAATATTTTTTGCATAATAATATCAAAGTTTATTGAAATACAAAATTATTTCCAGTTTTAAAATGATTATTTGATGTAACAAAATTAAAATAAACTTGTAAAAAAATTTTAAATTAATTCCGAAGCTATGATTTCCTTTTCAATTATGAAAATATTAATTAACAGTCATCCATATCATATCAATTGATCATTTGGTTGTTACTATTGATATTACATCATGTTGACAAGGTACAAAACATTTAGTGTACTCCTACGAGATACGAATATACACACTCATGATTTCCTTCAATTAATTGGAATGTTATGTTATAGTTAGCTTATTCATCATGAATGTTCAATGTACTCATGTTCACCCCTTCCGAATTTTTAATTGACTTTTATGTATTTTAACACAAGAACACACGAGCCTGTTAATAATATGTTGCAGTAATGACTAATGACAGCTATACTAACACTAATTATTGTACTCTAATTATAAGAGAAATTATTATTTGCTTAGATGTTGAACAAATTTAGCTTAACAATTATTTTTTATTTAATCAAAGATTTTTTATAAAATGATTAAATCACGTCAAGGCTTATTCTTGTTAGTCTTATTACAGAGTACAAATAATTCTGGCGCAACAAATCATGCAAATTGATTTCAATTGGTCTTTTATTAGTTTATTGAGAGATAAAGCTCATTCAATTAAAAAATAGACATTTATGTTACTATTCTCTCTAAATGCTTTAATATCAACTTGGTTTACATTTGCTACTATTTTTTTTCTAATCACTGTTATTCATATTATAGTAAATATTAAAATAAATTTAAAAATTATTACAAAACACTAATTAACATAAAAAATTCATTGCATGCAATGCTGAAGAAAAAAAATAATCTTTCGCTAAAGTACAGTTGAATATTGATATTTTATTTATAATTCACTGTCTGAAGCTAAAAGTCTACGTCTAGAACAAGAACTGGAAAGTTATAAGAGGGTTGGAAAGAAACATGTGTATGTTAAAAAAGCCATTTTTCTTAGAATTAAAACGAGGCTGATATTAAAAAAATTATAGTCTAACAGAACTGCAATATTGCAGTACAATCGTATATTAAATAATGTTGATTGCATGAAAAGAAATGGAAAATAGAATATATTTTTAAAACAGAACTATGCTTATATATAGATTTGAGTATATGCGATTGGTGGGGTGTGCAATTTCGTTAGGGACATACGGTTTCTCACTGACATGTCACGAATAGCATGTCCCTCAGGCGCCTAGATGTGACTCATAACGTAATCTACTGTATTAATCACCCAACAAGATACTCCAACTTCATTTTCGATTACTCAATGATTTTTCTATAATAAAATTAAATTATTTTCAATACAATTGTTCATCAAATACTGAAATCAAATTAATTCGAAGTATTTTAAATCATTAATTTGTTAAAAAAAATATAAATTGAATAATTTATGAGATTGAAATGGCAGAAATACTTTAAATAAAAAATAATTATTCAGAATATCAAAAATAGAGTAGGAATTTTTGATCGGTATAAAGTTAATAATAGTATCAACAGAAAAGTTATAGATGTTAAATGGGAAACTTTTCTGAAAAAAAAACAAAAGTGTTAGCATATAATATTGATGAGTAAGGAAAGTATACACGGTTTAATGTCGTTTTGTACATTCGTGAATTGGAGTCTCATTGTATAGCCACACCCACAATATCATATTAGCATTGAAGGGGAGAATAAGAATGAACACGAAAGAGGAAATCTACGAGACATGTCGACTATTGTTATATTACTGGTTGTCGTCATTGTCACCATGGGGTGGAACAAAAGTTGACAACATTTATCCCTCAATACATCCAAGAATAAAGTTCTCTACAAGGGAGTTTAAATGACAGAAAAATTATGGAATAGATCAATCAATTTTTGCACTTTTTGCCACATTACCAAGTATATTATGTGGAAAGTAGGTAGAGGAAAAATCTTTTAGCAATGATATAAAAAAATTTATTTTGATTTAACATTAGGTTGATACTTTAAAAAGAAAGATTTGCAGCAGTCACTTGTGATGATTAATAAAAATTATTCAGAATGAAAAGTTATCGTGATAGTAAATTTTTATTTGCCAATAAAGTAAAACTTTCAACGAATATTCACGTTTGAAATATACATCATCGTGAAAATATGAATACAGTTAGAAAGTTGATGGTTGATAATTCAATGTAAAAAGTATATAAAAATAATTTATTCAAATAAGAAAAATAACAGAAAATTATTATGATTAAAGATGTATTGAATTGAAAACGAAAAAAAGTATTTGCACAATGCTTATCAAAGTAGGAATAAAATTTTCAAGAACTCTCAGAGCTTTTAAAGGACTCTATCGATTTTTTATATACACTACTATTTTTGATAGCTGCAAACTCCACTCGTAAAAATATGTAGCAAACTTTTTTCAATTGAGTCTACAAAAAAAATAACTTGAAGTATTTTTCGCATCCAAAAGAGATTTTTTTTAATAGTCTATTTAATTAAATTTGTATTAATATATCCAGGAATTCTCGTTCTTGATGAAATTTTATTTTGCATTTGCGACGCAATTAAGAAGAGCTTCAAAAAAAAGTGGTTAGTAACAAAAAGCAACAGAGAATGAAAGAGTGTAGCTGGAGATGATGCTAAATGCAGTTATTTGCATTTAGTTTCCATTCCACTAGGTGATGAAAAAATGTTGACAAAAATTGAGCAAAAGTAGACAAGATATAAACCGAAAAATTCTAAAGAAGTCTTAACCAACACACATACAGTAGTTTCGTTGGTGAATATGGGCGTTATTGTAGTATTGAGCGACACTAGGAAAGCCGGGACGCCAGTGGCTGCCGTTGCTATGTCAACCGACAGACTCACAGGACTTTTTGCATTTTCGGTAAAACCTGTGAAGCTCACGCAATGTCATCGAGTTAATTTGATACATGAATTTATCGAAAAAAAATATTATCGTGATAATAATTCAAAGCCAAAAAAAAATTTGCCATTAGTATGTAGATCACTTTTTATGATGTATGTATTTAAAAGCTCTGTCTGCAGAGAAAAGTTCTCAAAGTTCATTTAAATAAAAAAGGCGTGAGGATAATTTTTCTCGACAACAAAATGCTAGATGGAAATGGAAAGAAAAGAAATACTTCAGAATAAATAATGCAAAACAAAAAGAGAAATGAACAAAAAAAAAATGTTTAAATGATACCCCTATAATTTAAAGTTATTATAATAAAGAAAATTGAGCCAATTAATATTCGGGGTCATCTGGTTCTCAATTTGTAATGGAATGTCCCACATATAATGGTATTTAATTATATTTAATGAATGCCTCCAGCAATGACCAGACAGAAACTGCCTCAATTAATAAAATGTTTGGAAAATCTATTTTTAGGGAACACATAATCACTACTTTATTTATTTAGCTATTTTCAACTCAAATCGAATTAAAATGTATATTGAGCTCAGTTGAAATTAAATTCAAAACTTTTTTAATTTTTTTTTTTAAAATCAAAACTTGCTGAACATTGGCAGGTATGATGATAAAAACGTAAATTAATATATTAATTTTTTCTGTTTGTGTATTGAGCAATATAACGTTATCTTAGTGTGAAAAAATATTGTATTTAATGAATTAGAATATCATAACATTGAGGTAACTAATTTTCTAGAATTAAAAAAAAATATGAAAGCTAGAAAATAGGGTAATTATCGGCTTACTGTGGAAGGTTTCAATACCAACAGTCAACCGGAAGTTTAATCAAAAAAATAGTTGAGTTGATGGATGGATAAACATATGCAGAGTATTGACAAGTAGCCCTCTTTTTACACGCCTTGGTAAATTTTCTAGTTGAGGACTCTTCATTCCGGAAAACAGCACCTACGTATGCTGATAAATAAATGTTCTGTTGAAACTATGTTGATTCTAATATCTAAACTTCTCGACTAGCAAGGAAAATGCGTAGAAGAGATAAAGAGTTCCTAAAAAATGTTTAGTAATGTTGAGAGAATATTTTTTTTAAATAAATAGAATATTTAGAAATAAATAATTAATTTTAATAGATACTAAAAATAGTTAGTATGATTAGACAAAGTGAATATTATCATAGATAATTGATAATAACACCAAAAAATTTAATGCATCATTTTTTTTTACGTATCGAATTCTAAGTCTTCACCTTTAATATAACTCAAGGATACTTTTTTAAATGGATATACTTGTCACATTTATTCAGAATTATTTCCAACAAAAAATTACTTTAAAACTTGAAACATATTTTCTTACTGTGGTTAACCGATCAATGCACTTTGTGTTACATTTGGCACATTAGTTTGGTGTAGAATTTGCGAAATGAATGCTAGTGGTAACATTTGTCGTTGGAACTAGCTGACCAAGAAATTGGGCTAAAATATTAGTTTAAAATATCTCTAACAGATGGTTTATAAATTTATCATACTAACGAAAATCCTATTTTATACTCCAAAAATTTTTATTCTAAAAAACTCGTTCTTAAATGAACTCTATTCATGACCTTGTGAGTTTTTTATTTTTCTAAAACGCATTAACGACCTTTATGGTCAATGTATGTAATCAATAAGGCTTTTTCAAGTAGTTTTTCATTACAAGACGACACATTAAAGCAGAAAAATAATATTCTATCTGTTTTATTTAACCGTGAATATCAATGCAATATGAATGCATAATATTGCATCAAGTATCCAGTGTTCTATAAATTTAAAATATTGTATTGTTGTAGTTACTATTCACTGATTTCATTCTCTAAATTTTTCCATATCCATTATCTTTTGAAGTAACATTTTATCTATCAATTGAAAATAAATTCATACAATTTAATTCGAGACCAATATGATTCTTTATCGACATTAAATACTACCTTTAGTGAAACTAAAAAAAAAATAAGTTTAATCAATAGATGTAAAAATAATTATCTGAATAATTAGGAATATCTAATTGTTATTAAACAATATAACAATGTTTTTCTTTATTAGTAAAATTATATCTCAAGGCTTTGGCCACATATTGACGTAACAAAAATTGTCATTCGATATCAAGGAATAAAATGTCAGATATCTTGTTTTTCTTTTATTAATCACTGAAGCATAGACAACAATTGCGCTGCTGCGACATTCTTATTTATCGTAAATAGAAAGAGAGAAGAGGGATGGTGGGCACGCGCTTCGGGAATCCAATCCAATCTCCAAGTTGTAATAGTGTAAAGTTTTCGTCATACAGCCGGGTATCCAAGAATAGACACGTGTGGTTTGTGGTGTGAATTTTTATTTTCAATCATGCTTCTCCTTCTTCATCTATAAAGGTTCCAAGATATTTAGTATTTTTTGCTACACCTTATTTTCTATGAGTTAAAAATTAAATGTCAAAAAAAAAATTCCGCATGCCACATTATTCTTGTTTTAATCCAGTTTGAACTTCCTACTAATTATAACCACCTACCTATCTACCACGCTTCACATACACAATGTTTATGCGTCTCTCTTTATTCACCAGTCTCAGACATACGTCGTGGGACGATTCTGAGTCTATATAAACCGCACCCGATTTTCAAGCAACTTCGAGTCGTTCGAGTTGCTTGCAGGAAGTCAGTACTCAAATCAGTTTAGTGGCAATCATTTACCGATATTTTTTTATCATTATCCAAATTGAGAATCGAGTTGTTTTGGTTGTTATCCTCTGTATTTAGATCTTGAAGTAAACATCTGAGAAGGGAAGAAAGCTTTTCTGAGGATGGAGACGGTCGTGAAGGTAGGCCGAACGGTTGGTGGAGGTGTTTATCGGGCGACTGGTGTCGTTCTTCGTGGTGCTCGACGAATTCTGGCCGCGATCCCGCTTCTAGGTATTATCGCGGATGAACCCGCTGACGAATCAATCGACAAAAAAGTTATTACGGTACGACATACGTAAATTGCCTGAAATCCCGTGACACAAAACTTATCTAGCATGCCCGTTTATCTTCTTGCTAATTTGCCTCGTCAATAATCTCTGATCCAGCCATTTTCTCACTGGACCTATCTTCAAGCTGCTCACAGCATGGATCTCTCTGTCGGGTTTTACCTTATTCGGGTCTAATTAAAATGTTCTAGAAAATATTCCAACTTAATACTTGGGTAAAAAACTTGTTTCTAATCAATAAATAACGTTAATTGTATAATATGGATAACATAAATTTGATAATTTTATTATTTTTTAGAATTTAAAAGTAAATTTTTCTAAATATATAATAGTGTTAAATCATTAATATGAATATTTGCAAACTATAAATTTAAATTTGGAATATTTTAAAATTGAACTATTTTGAGTGAAATATTTTGAACCAGACTACCTGACTCACCACCTCTTAGCTCTTCTATAACAAACTTAATAAGTACGTTCAATTTATTCAGTATGTGTTCAAGAATTCATATGATTCTAATAAATAATATACCTCCGATTTGACGTGAGAGTCTCTTGTACTAATATTTGTTATTAAATGTGCCTATAAATATGTAAAAAGGTGTTATTTTTGAAATTATTAACAAAAATTTTTTATACAAAATCTTCGCTGGCTTTTCTCGAATAGATTAAATTTATTCTTCAATTTTTTAACCACTCGAGAAGGTAGGTAATGGAAGGAGTAATCACAAAGATGATTGTGTATTTTTTTTCAATGACCTTCATTGTTGTTTAGGTATTTTAACAAAGAAAATCTCAATACCAATTTTTTATCACAATCTAAAACAAATGTTGCCTGATAATCAATTCCCATGCTACGGCTTCAAAAATTGAATATTTTAACTCATTTAAAATTTTAATTTAAAGTGAATATAAATTATCAGAGAAGCTTGTACAGCTTCTAGCTCACAGCAAATTAAATAAAATCATCTCAATTATGAGTTTTTATGTTACCTAAGAAAGCGGAAAGTATCAAAATCTCGTAATTAGAACTGAGAGTTTGCATATAATAGTTGCAAAGTTTAACAAATAATTTCGGAGAATGAATAAAAAAATGAATAAATTCAACCAAGATGAAGATATACATTGATATAATTTTTAGGGCGGTGAAGAAGCTGAGAATGCAGCAGCAAGTCCAGTAGAAGAAAAATCAGTAACTAGCCTGAATGAATCAGCGGCGGGAGAAAATGAAGTTAAAAATGAGGAGAAGCCTGCAGCGGCACCTGAAGTAACATCAAGTCCAGCTGAGGAAAAGCAAGAGGCACCCTCATCTCCCACTGCCCCAATCCCCGTCCCTGTCGAGGATAAGAAAGAAGAAAAAACTGAAAAAGAAGTAGAGAAAGTTGAGGTCAGTCCAACGCAAGCCGTAGCAGCCCCGATAGAAGTCATGTCCCAACCCCAGCCGATTATTGCACCGTCTATCATTGAGAGGAAAACCAGTGAGGACTTTCCTTCCTTGCTTCCATCTAGTCCACCCCCAACCCCCATTAATCCATCGCCCCTTCAGCAGGCACAATCAGCTGCTGCCAATGCATCAGCTCTTGCTGAGGCACTAAAACTTCCTGCAGAGGCAGATCTAGCTAACGCATGTCGCTTAGATTATCACAAAAATGATAATGAAATTGTAAATAGCGAACCAGAATCAATGGAGAGTAATATAGAAATTGACTCAAAAGCAATAGAAAATAAGGAGGAAGTAGAAGAAGCAGTTCAAGTTGAATCTAAAGCAATAGAAACTCAAGATGTGCAATCAATAGTTGAAGATGTTCATCGGGAAAATATTGATACGGATATTCCTATTGAAGAACATTCTTCTCTTACAGATTTAAGTGACAATACAAAAACTTGTCCAATAGAAGTTGAAGAAATAGCTATTGAAACTACTGCTGCTGTTGTTGACCAGCAAACTTGCAACAATCAATTTGAAAAAATTGACGAAACTTCTAAGACTGAAGAGATTATCACAAGTGAAAAATCAACTGAAGATGATGTAAAGGAAATAGATGATGATAATAATACAGATGTCAAAATGGAGATAGATACCACGATAAAAACTGATAATGAAGATGAGGAAATTCCACCGCCTATTCCAGAGTCGCCAATTCCTATACCCAAGGCATCGTCACAATTCATTAATTTTATTACTTCACAAATTGAAGACAGTCCTCCTCTTTCAGAGCCAATAGAAACCGACAATGTGATGCAACCAAAATTAGAAGTTGAAGATTTTTCATTGCAATCTACAGATAATTCAATTCCTTCTCCGCCTACAGAAACTGTTGTAGACACTTCAATCGAATCTCAAAATCCACTTTCACTTCAAGAGATTAATAATTTGCCACCACCGCCTCCAGAAGTCGCAGCATGTGAACAAGTGCCAGACATAGTGTCTTCCAATCCTCAAGAAACTGTTGAAGATATCCCGACATTGTCCAGAAGTCCCAGTCCAGAAGTCTCCCTTGGAACAGTAGAGTCCTCAAACGAATTAGTGGAACCTGAAGTGAACGAGGATAAAAAAATTGAGGCTTTTGTTGAGAAGAATAATCACGAATTTGTAAAAGAAACGATAGCAGCTCCAGTTGAAGAAATCAATACGAAATCTGACTTGGAAAATAGGCAATCTGATACAATTGAAGACAAAACAGCGTCCGTCGATAGTTTGTTAAATCATCAGATCCAGAAGAACGACCAGGTGACTAACAAGGAACTAAATTCTGGCATGAGTCAGACAGTCAAGCGTTATTAAAAACTCCAAATTAAAAATCATCATGCGATCCGTAAAAAAATCAAGCTACTATCTTTGTGGTATAGTTTAAACCAAACCAACAAAAAATCTCCATCAAAATACCTCCTGGTTTTTTATTCTCCAAGGCCATTGTGAAGACTGTGCAGTGTAATACTTCGCAGTTAAAGATAGGGCCTCTTTTCAACTCATCTATCATTTTCCATCTCCACACTCCGATACCTTAATGCCTGTATGAAGGATAGGTAGTGTTGTATGTTTATTAGAGTTCAAAGAAAAATTTCCTTTGGTTATATAAATATAATCATAAATCATTCTATTTTATTTTTCACACATCATTCAATAGTCATTAGATAATAGAGAGAACTCAACTTCAACATCTACCCTGCCTACATCATAATAATCCACCAATATGATTGTTAACATCGCTAGTACAAATCCAAATATCCAAATTTATCACCAATTCCTGTGTTATTTGCCTCTTGGTTTTCTTACAAATATTAACACATCCCATGTTCAATTGAATTAAAGCCACTTGTGGCTATTCTTTTATCTTATTACACGTGTTAAATTGCAAGAAAACTCATTGATAGACGTCTTAATTCCTAGCTAATAATTTTATTTGTATTCAATTCTTTATTTCAATAACTTATCTGTTTCTCATACTTATTCCCGTATCTAACAACCATTTTTATTTAAGCATCTTGGAAATAAGCATGATTATTTTGATTGCCTTGTTGACTGACGGGAACAATTATGAGAATTTACGTTGACTTGTTTAAAATAAGCTAAGCATGATAAAACAAATAATTTGTATTTGTAATAATGGCTTATTCTTTTCCCTTTTAGATGACAAGTATTTATCCTTATGAATAAAATCATAATTTATAAAAATAGAATAAGAGTTGAATTTGTGTCGAGTTGTTTTTATACAGCATGTTGGGAATTAAAAACTTAGAAAATATATATTTAATCAACCTTTAATATGAAATGAATATTTTATGGTATTTTTTTTTTCTACAGAGCATACCCGAGACTGAAGCTCCTGTTGAAAATTCCACCTTGAATAGTACAACGGAATCCACTGAGGAAACCCCGAAAAGTCCACTTGCATCTGTCCAAACTGAAGTCACTGCACCTGTAGCACCCGCTATCACCGAAGATGTTACCTCAGTAACCAAAGTACGTATTCCTGGAGTTTAATTAATCACGTAAATTAAATTGTTGATGATAGGATGAAACTACCAATAGTTAATCAATTAAAATAGTTTAAATAGTTGATCGATAGTTAACCAATTTTAATTGAACAGTTATCAACAGTCTTTTATTCGGACTTTCTTATTCATTAACGTACTTCTGATATTCAATATTAAAACTCATTACTTCAAGTAGAACAAATTTTTTATTCTTTGATGATGAATTACCATTCGACCAATATAATATTTGGTTCTCGAATCTAAATTTGTTAGATTAAGACTGATATTTGGGGCCATCTGATTTCACATTAAAAATATAATCAAAATGAAAATATTCTACTAAATAATTCAAGTATATTAATTGAAACTTTATGTTTCAGGCTGTTGAAGAGATTGATATTAATGAGAAAGCTGTGGCGGCGGCAGTTAATGAAAATATTGAGAGTGCCAACAAAAATGTAAGTTTATTAAAAATCAATAATCAAATATCATGACATTAATTAAAGAACTTTATTAATTCGATGTATTTTTTCATTACAGGAAATTATTGCTGATATGAATTATCAAAATCTCAATGAATAAACATCGAAAATTGAATTATATTTTGGGAAGTAGAGATTTTTTTTCTCGTTAAAACCAAAAAAGTATATTATATAAATATGTATATTTGGACCATTCCTGCAATCAAACTGGAATTAATGTTCTTTTGTTACGAGCAGCAAAATTAAATGAATCGACAAAAGTATTGACGTAACATCATAGAAGCATGAAATTTTTTTTTGTCGTAATCTTGAGTTACTTTAATACGGCATTTTATATAGCAGGGTGGTGGAAAGTTTTTAATTGGCAGAACAATCGAATTATAATTATTACACACAACAATATAATTTAAAACATAAAATAATAAATGATAGGTAAAATATATCAACGATGATAAGTCTCTCATGAAATCGTCGATCGGTGTTGTCGCTCGGATAATAAATAAATTATTTCGCGAAGCAATGGAACAAGGGATATAGCTTTGGGCCGCGCCCATTATAAATTTATTAAGAATAATAATATACGCTGAAAAGAATGTAGGGATATTAATTAAAGTGTCATTTATTGTTATTAAAATAATTCTAAAATGAAGCCATAAATGTAGGCCAGACGAGCGACATGGGTATGACGGTTCATAGTCGAAAATGGTACCGTATGTTTGAAAAAAAGTACATGCAAGTCGTAGTCCTATTCTCTCTCTTACTCTTTCTCTCTCGTCCCTTCTCCTTTTGTATTAACAATTGTTTGTGAGAACTCGCAATAAGATAAGGAAATCGATAGGAGAATGGACGGGGAGATAAAATTGGACATGGGTACTGATAAAATTTTAAATGAATAAAAATTTGACTGGAATGAGAGTAGGTCAATATACGGTTCTAATAGCCCATACGTCAGTGTACTTGTATATAAATGTTGGGGTCCATTAGATAAATTGCATTTTATATTTTTTGGATCGACGATTTCTATCTTAAAAAAAACCTGCCTGAAAAAGAGCAAGTTCTTTGTTTTAAAAATTTCACTTTTTAATCGTCAATCAACTATAAAATATCGATTGTAGTTTTAATTTCATGAGTATTTTGAAATAAATTTTATTACTTTTACAAGTAATAATACTATCATCACATTACTAAGATTTTTTGAACTACAATCGATAGTTTATAAAGACGATTGAGATGTATATTATTCATTGCATTATAATAGAATTACTGTTTTTCTAATGATTGTTTGATAATTAAAATTTTCATAATTCTTAAACTATTAGCAAATCTACGTCATCTAAGGGATCATATCATATATAAACAAGTATTAATTATTAACTAAATTCAACGTTACATGAAAATATAATGTCTGATGTGGGTTAACAGAAAATTTGACATAAGGAATTGATCAGAAAGTAAGAGCTAGGTATGAAGGTAACGGAAGTTGTGAAGAAAAATAAAATATTGTATTAAAATGTGACGTAGAAATTTTTTTTGAGCTCGTCAATCTGAGAACATTTAATAAATTAACTTCATTATTCTCGCGTGATCCTTAGTTCTTTTTTATTTATTTTTTTTGTTTATACAATTAAAGTGTTTTTAATTGTTAACGGAGGGATTGCACACACATTTCCATATGCGATGAACGCACACTAAACTTAATGCGAAAAAATACTGACTAAAAGTTTAAAAAAATAATTAATAATAATAATAAACACTACAGGATAAAATAAGTCAAGAACATTAAGTGATATGTAAGTTAGACATAGTGAGAATTGCGTACATGTAAAATCGATATTTGTTTGAAATGCTACTTCTCAGTATGATGAACAACTAACAATGAGCCTATCGTAATTTTCATGGTAATCATTCAATGTCGCCTAATTAAAATATTAAAGAATCCGTATCACTACTATCCCAAAAAAAAAAAATAATAAAAAACGAAAAAAATAGGGTACCTTTTTCAAGTTTTTAATACGATATTTCTACGTTTATACGGATCTCCGAAATTTTGGAAAACTTTTTTAAAATAAGTATAATTACCTAAAGATGACTTTCGTTATTAAGATCTTAGTGTAGATTAATAATCGATAGACGCATATATGTATATGCTCTATGAGAGTATGTGGTAAAAAAAGAAAAAGTTAGAAAACAGTCATTTTTAATGATCACGACTGGCACTAATTTCAACAATATATTAATGGATAAACGAGCAACAAGTAAAATTAAAATTAAAAATTGTATCATAAACTGTAATCGTATGGAATGTAACAAACTATTGTCCGTAATAATATTTACAACGAAAAAAAGATGCAGTAGAAATTCCATGTGAATGAATTTTTGGTTAAAAAATTTTGAGAATTAAATCACTTTGTGTTTGACGACATGATTGAGTGATCACTCTAAGATATCTTCGATAAATAACTTTTAGCTTTTTCTTTATAATTTTATTTTAAATTTGTAATTATTTTTGAATAAACTTTTAAATCGGGGATATCTGGAGTGAACGTAAAGTCTTCAGTATCTTCGATTAATAATTATAATAGTAATTATTCTACATTTATCGATAATCTACAATAAATTGTGAAACAGTACTTTTGTAGCTTCATTTATTTTCCACTGCAACTGTTTTATGCGTCTATGAAAATTAAATTATGAGTAAAATAAATTCAATTCTTTTAAATGTTCACTAAAATCAAGAATTTTCTCAAATATCGTAACAATTGAGTTCCTAAAATTTATTGAGAATTTAAGTATTTTTTTCTTAATTTTTATAATTTTAAAAGTATCACTAATCAGATATTAGAAATGATTCATAAAAAATTATGAGTGTTTATTTTAAGATATGGATATTCATTGTATGACAAAGCATTAACCAATTTAAAATCTTTTGAGTTCAAATAATAATTATTATTATTCTTTTAATATCTTATTTTATTTTGCTCAATGCTATTGAGTCAGCAGTATTATAGTACGTATCCTCCTCATTCCTTTTTATTCCTATTACAAAATGTTCCGACAAAACTGTAAGATAATTTTTTTAATAATCTAGAGGAATGCTAAAAATAATCTGATTTCATAAAATTTATTTACTCAAATAAAAAAAACATAAAAAAAAACAAATTGCAAAAAATTATTTCTTTTCTATAATACAGTTTAAGGACAGAGGGTTGGAAAATATTATTTTTTTTATTATTACTGGAATATTAAAGTAACTAAAATTAGGATTCATTCTACACTTTTAGGGTGAAATTGAATAAATTTCTCATAATAAACGTTTGAAAGTATTTTAATGAAAAATCAATTATCTATACTACTTTTGGCGTAATACAATTTTTGTCAGTGTAAATTGTGGTAAGAAACCAGTTAGAGAGTTTTCTCCACTTTCAAATTTTCCAAAGTTTTTAATACGAGATGTATGAAAACATTACCTCATAAATAGAAAAACAATAAATAACAAATATGAGAATCATATTAATTAATAATTTATATAATTCATCATTTGTAAAGTACACAGTACAGATCACAGTGCAGATTTATTTTGATAGTTTCTGCACTTACGATCAAGTTATTGGTCTAAAGACAGTCAACAACTATATTTTGCAGTCTCGTATATTTTGTGGCAGTAATTCATTGTGTTGATAAACTAATATTTACAACCGAATTGCAAAACGAGGCGAAGCAGCCGTATTATTTTCTAATTCATTTTGCTAAATCATTTATCAATTTATATCGTAAATTCAATTGACCAATTATTACTAAGCAGTAATATATTGATACATCTTTTATCTATCTTTCATTTTGTTATATTTATTCGACAGTTTCAGGGCCTTCATCGTCCCGCGAAAATATTTGGCCAGCTCGAAACTCATTCCTGTTAATTCTATCACACATGTATTGTAAATTCTTGTCTTTCTTGTTCTTTTCTTTGTTGATACCTGTAAACAATAAATCATTATTAGTTCAATCATTAGTTTTTCCATTTAGTAACAAATTATTTAAAAAGACAAGTACCTAGCAAGCATTGTTTCGACTGCATCAACCGGTAGCCTTCCAAGACTACCGCTATGTCGCGTAGCGATGGATAGTCCCTGCCAATCACGATCACGATCACACTCCGCCTCGCTCAATTCACGGCTGTCACTGAATCCACTCGGAGGCAGCAAAGTCATGTCTTCCACCGAACTAATTATTTTATTATTAACATCATTCAACTCATCTTTATAAATACTCATTTATTTTCTATCTATAACAAAAATTCTTTTCAATACATGCATTAATTAGCTGGCATACTATTTCAGTAACTGATTTAAAATCTATTATAATTCTAAACAATTGTTAATTATAATTCGAAGGCTTTATCAGAATTTTTATTTAGATGTAGAAATTTTTTATTTGAGTAAGTCGTAAACAAATGGATATATAATGAGACTGAGTGCTATTGTGAACAAACAAACCTTGGCTACCTGCGAGTAGACCGGCACGGTTGTCGACTTCTTCTTCGTGCTAATGACGGAGAACCTTCGTTGTTAGATTCCGTACTTGATTCCACTCCTCTCGAGAATACATCTGAAATTTAGATATTTATATATTGAACAAATTAAATACAAAAAAATCTATAAATTTTATTTGACTACTGAGGCAATCTTTACCTCTACAAGGTTTAACTGGAACTCGATAACTTGGTCCAGCGCATTCTCCACAAGGACTTCCTGAAGTATCACTTCCAGAGCCTGGACGACTAGACCGAAGTTTACTTTCCGCTTCAGCGATGCTTGGAAAGTAACGTTGTTTGTGCCATCTAGGGGTTTTAGACCTGCACGTCAGACAGAACGAGAAAAAGAAAGGAACATGGGGAAGATGATGATGTGCTCAGAGGATTTAACTATTCTACTGGTTGATTGGAAAAAAAAATTACATATACATACCGTTCGAAATCGACACTGGATCTCTCGTAATCTATCGTGTTGATATCTTCATTTTCTAAATGACCAAAAGTTTTAAATTGCATTGTATAATCCAATGTCGCTGTATTCACAGATCGATTGTCTCTTCCTGGTACACTGAACGTTGCATATGGACTAATTTCATACATTTCTAGAAGAAAAACAATTGATGAAATCATAGATAAATCATTTTTTCTAGTGTTTGTTTTACTTACCAGATCCGTGATCATTAGCTTTATGATTATCTTGTTTAACTGGTGAGCTAGTATAAACCTGGTGATTTCTCCTATTATCCCTCTCAGCAGTAGATTTTAATTGAACTGTTGACATACAACTAGACATATGATGATGGGTTTGATGTTGAGATTGAGGGTTGATCCCTAAACCCGTTTGTCCGGGTTGGCCAGGCAACATTTCCCCTAAATAACTAGACCTTCCACTCCTCTTCAGCATAACATAGCCGAGTATAACTGCGGAAACGATCAAAATAATTGCACAAATAAGAGGGACTACAACATACAACACTTTATGATTCTGTGGATTTTTTTCTAGTTCATCATCCATAATTAAATCATTCGGAGGACCAATGCTGATGCCACTTAAAGTCGTAGTAGCAAATTCCATCTTAGTTTGTGTTGCACCCGCATCATTATGAGCTGTAAGCCTTAAGCTATACCAAGCAGCAGGTTTCAAATCTCTAATAACAAGATTTTCTGTAGCTTTACTTGCTACTAAAATCCATGGTTCAGTGTTTATTCGTCTTCGATATTCAACGGTATAATAGTGAATTGGACAACCACCATTAGGCCATGATAATAAATTCAATCTCACAGATGTAGCATTAGCAGTAATGATTTCACGTTCTTTAGGAAGATGTGGTGCAGTTCCTTTGGTTGTAGCACTTATCAACGCACTAGGATCTCCCGTACCAACTCGATTGTGTGCTGTTAAATGAGCTAAATAAGATGAACCACATTTCAGACCATTAAGCGTAAATTCTGTTTGTTCTGGAGACAACATTATTTCTTCCCAACCACCTTGATCTTTTTTATAACTCAAAACATATCCTTGTATCGTTGCTCCACCATTTTCTGGGTGGCTCCAACGTAATTTAACACTATGAGTAGTCGTATACTGAAGTTCTAACTGAGGAGCTTTTGGAGGCATAACAACTACGAGTGTATAGGTGATAGAATCATCACCAAACAGGTTACTTGCTGAACAAGTATAATTTCCAGCGACAGACGGCTCAATACCATGAATATTCAAGTGACCCTCAGCTGTGATTTCATATAGACGACCAGTAAAAATTTGAGTATTTTTATGAGTCCACACAGGTCGAGGGGTTGGGTTTCCTACTACTAAACATGATAAAGTAACTGAAGACTTTACAGCACGCCTTAGGAGTTGAGAAAAAGATGCTACTCGTGCTGGAGCTCGGGTGTTTGTTGTTTGAGTTACTATCGTTGTTGGTTCTCCTTCACCTAGTCCAGTTGTTGCGGAAACCCAGAATTCATACAGTTGGCTAAGAAGAGAGAAATTTTCACAATTATTTACATGAATTATATAGTGTTTTTCTTTAATTTAACACTCTACACATAGAATGTTGTAAACTTTTTTTATTTGAGGACAATAATTCGTCGCTTGAGTTACTATCTTTTGAAAGCATCTATTAACAAGCTTGAGACTATCAATATTTACATTTAATTAAATACCTTTCAGTCAACCCCCGAAGTTCCATTGTTAAGGTATCAGTAGGTGATGATGGAGGTTCGTGCATTGTATGTGTGTTGTGTCGACTGGCTCCAGTTTCTCTACTATAAACTGTATACTGAGACACTTGACCATTCGGTTGCAAAGGGGGAAGCCAAGATACTAAAATACTTTCAGCTGTGAGAGCAAGAGCTTTAATTCCTGCAGGAGGTCCTGGTACTGAAATAAAATAAGAAAATAAAAATAATTAAACTAGCTATAGAAAAGTAATTGTCCTTAAAATTACAGCTATCTTGATCAAAGATTATTACCATCTTCTTCAGTTGTACAATAAATCGCAGGACTTAGAACGCCATCTCCAGCTCCAGTGTATGCTAATACCCTGATAGAATAGTTGGTATATTTGTACAAAGTGTGAAGATATGTTTCTTCACTAGAAGTCCGTTTGACTTCACCTACTGTTGATATTTCCATGTTATCAGTAGGTACTGGTCTGTAATAAACTTTATATCCCTGAATTATCCCACCATGCTGATGAGCCGGTGGTGCACTCCAAGAGACTTTCACGCTCTGAGAGGAGAGTGGAGCACAAGTTACTTGAGTTGGCGGAGCTTCCGGAACTAAAATAAATTTAACAAAATTTAAATTAAATATAATTTTCGAAACTTTTTTCCAGATTTTCAGCAGATTTTTTTTTAAATCAATATTTTACCTCCTTCTTGAGTTGTTCCAACGATGGTTGGACTAGCTGGTCCAGCAGCAATGCTGTTAAAAGCTTTTATCGATATATCATACTTCGTAAACTTTCTTAATCCTGTCAGTTGGACTTTAGTCGTTGCCCATCCATTTACAGTTAAACTTTTACTTTGATTGACTCCGGAAGTCGAAGACGAATGTTCAGACCATGTTACAATATATCCTAGAAGGTCTCCATTACACGATTCCTTGGGGGGCGATTGCCATGTGACGATCAACTCTCCCGATCCAGCGGATTGGACTTTTATGTTTTGTGGCGGCTCAGTTGGAGCCTCTTCCTGAGTTTTAGCCACGACTGGGTCTGTTGGTTCACTTGCATCGATAGGATTTATTGCAAATACTCGGAATGCATACGTAACAGCTGGGTGGAGACCTCCAACAAGTGCAACTTCTTGGTCATCACTTGTAGAATCGTATCTAGAGAGTCCGTTTTGAGTTGGATTAGTTGAAGCTCCAATATTTGAGTTGCCAGGAGTAAATGTAACATTGTGAGTCTTTGAAGGTTCCCAGTCGTCAGTTATTCCATGATTTAAAGGTCTATATTGGATAATATAATTTCGAATTGGACTATTTCCATCAAAAGATCTTTTCCATGAAAGTCTTATTGATCTGGAGCCTATCTCTATTACTTCTAAGGCAGTTGGTGGATCAGGTCGTTCTGAAGAAAAAATTTCTTATTTAATTCTCGTTCTTAATCAAATAGAAATAAATATTAGTGTGAGATAAGACATTTCACCTTGAACAGCTAAATAAATAATATGTTCACTTTTGCCAAAGGCATTTTCAGCAGTACACCTATAAATGCCAGAGTCATGTCTATCGCTGCCTCCGATAGATAATTGGGATTTCAGTCCAGTGTCTGTTTTTACCTGACTTATACTTAATCGGTGATTATTAGTATCCAATCGATCATTATTGTGTAGCCATTGAACTTCTATAGGATTATCACCAATTACTGTACAATCTAGAGTTACTGATTCTCCTCTTCTTATCGTTACATTCTTGCTTTGTTGCTCAAATCTCGCGGGTTCTATTGAGAGATTAATTAATTAGTTTAGGAAAAATTATCTTCAAAATTAATTAAGTTATCATGGAAAATAATGTCAATATTTGTAATCAAATAATCATTGGAAATAATTGATGAAAAATTAATGGAATTGAAACAATAGATTTTCCTGTTCAATAAATATATTAAATGAATTATTACCATTCACTGAGACATAAATGACTTTGCTGAGCCCCGAACCAATACCATTATTTGCTCTACAAAGATAATGCCCTTCGTCTTGAGGACCTGCAGAAGCAGTCCATAATGATCCATTTGGTAGAATCATAATCCTACTATCCAAGCTCTCCTCTAACTGCTGATAGTCATTAGAATTTCTTCCTCTACTTCGCAGCCAAGTAATTCGAGGAGGGGGAAACCCCTTAGCTTCACAATGAACATTCAGGGGATTACCGAGAAGACTTGATACGTCTTGGGGTTCATAGGTCCATTGAGGAGGAACTTTAACTAACAATTCAGTTGTATGATTTACTTTTGCAGCACTATTTGTAGCAACACATGTGTATTTTCCACTATGCTTTGAAGTAAGTTCTTTAAAAACTAACAAACTAAAAAACTCTGCACCTCTTTCTTCAATCTAAAACAAATTCAATTTATATTTAAAGGATATTTTTTATTAAAACATTCTTTTTCTCTCTTAATTCTATGCTAAGAAATATGGAATGCTGATAAAAAAATGTACTTTCGTGTCATTTAAAATAAAAAATGGATTTACTTGGGTTAGATATTGGATATTATGAATAATGATGAGTACTTACTTTTAGAGAAGAAGGTAAAGGCTCTCCATCTTTGAGCCACGAAAAATAAATAGGAAGATCACCAGAGGTAACTCCACAGGTAATTTGAGCTCGACTTCCCTCTTGTAAATTTGGTGGAAATGAAAAAGGACTCATAACAGGCGGACCTTAAATATACAATGAATAAAAAATATCAAGAAACACGACGTAAAATAACAAGAAAAAGTATAATATTTCCATTTATTTTATTTCACATTTTTGGATTTATTTTACGATATACTTTTCTTCCTACGAGTCGTGTGAAAAATGATTTTCACGATAACGATTATCGGATTCAAGACCCTTGCCGCAGTCTCTCTTCTTAGATAATATTTATGACACATTTATGATATATTTATATAGTATATTTATGATATATAACCACCAATGACTTTTCTTATTTATACAGTAAAGATGTAAGACTTACTGCTCACGGTCAATTTTATATCTCGGCTGGCAGTTTCTCCAGTACTTGCACGAACTGTGCACGTATAAGTACCAGCATCATCCGGATCGACTGTAGCGATAGTCAAGTAGCCCTCAGTATCAACTCGATGTCGCATATCTAGAGGTAATTCCACTCCACCTCTTGACCATTCGACTGAAGTTATAGGGTATCCAGAATAAGGACATGCTATTGTAGTATCAATCCCAGCTATTGCACGTACAGGTCCAATGGAACGAATATAAGGAGGACCTGAAATAAATTTTATTTATGATCCAATCAATAACAAACCGATACTATGTTTTCAAATAACCCAGTTTAATAAATAAAAAAGTAATTGAGAATTCTGTTCAATAATTTTATTAAAAATATTTATGAAAGATTATTTATCATAAATAACGAGAATTAATTATTTGTTTATTTATGTAATTAAATGCATCGAAAATAAAGTATTTACCATAAATATTGAGTCTTGCTTTGTGTTCAACAGCAGCCAATGTATTTCTTGCCATACAAGCATAAAGCCCACCGTCCTCAGCTCCAGCTGATGTGATATTCAAGTGGCTTATTACGTCTCCAGATTGATCGACGTACTGTCCTATAGCATACCTACGAGACAAATGTAATTAGATGTTAATTTAGACGTAAAATTACTTTACGAAGTACCTGTGTCCCTGAGCAATCTCACTCAAAGGCTCGCCATCTAATAACCAAGTAAACGAGGGTGGCGGTGAACCCGTGGCAGAACATCTTAAAGATACAGGAGGTCCAGGCCTCAAGGCTTGTTCGATAAACGTATATTGAAGTTCGGGTACGGTATCTATATCAAATTTTTACACTAAAGTTAGAAATTATGAATTTATCCATTTTTCATAAAGAAATTTAACTTTTATTATTTCTTGACTGATTTTATTTTAATAATTGATCAAAAAAAAATTCCAAATAAGACTGTTATTCCATCGTATATTTTTCTTCTGTGCAATTATACAGAAGGAAATTCATAAGCTGATTACGTTTCTTTACAAATTGACAAGAAAAGTCTAAAAAAATATCCAAGTAATCATTCATTCATGTAATTGACATCTTTTTCGATACAGTTGAAATGTTTATTCCGCAATGAATTTTTTATTTAAATTCGTTAACAAATAAATATAAAATTTTAAATATAAATCTCATTAAAAAATTAAAAAAGTTCACCTCCTAATTTTAATTCGGCTGTTGCTTGAGCATTTTCTTTATCACTTCGTACTAAACATTGATACATTCCTTTATCTCTCCTACCAACTGAGCCAACAACTAGAACTAATGGAGCTAATAACCGAATTCTTGAATCTTGAGCCGTAAGAACTGGTACTCCATCATGTAACCACTCCACACTTTCCACTGGATAGCCCTCGACCGTGCAGTTCATGGTGGCAGATTCTCCTGAATTGACGACTTGAAAGCGTGGTTGAATTCTAGCGTTTAATTTAGATGTTACGGATAAATGTGTCTCGGCTCTTTGTTCTCCAAATTGGTTGCTGGCTCTACAGATATATCTTCCTGCATCTTGAGCATCTACACGGCGGATTTGCATTAAGTCACCCCAAAGCTGGATTCTACCGAAAGACTCGACAGGAATTGAATGGCCTATTCAATGACATTTTTATGATTGCAATAAGATCGTAGAGATTAAAATAATTAAATTATTCATAATACTAATTGAAAATGATTCTATTCTCTACGTATTATGCCTATATTGATTACTAACCGTTTATATCACGATACCAAGTGAATTGGGGAGGTGGACTACCTTGTGCTGAACATGTTAAGTGCACATCTGAACCTCTCTCTGCAGAGATAGCTATCTGGGAAGGTTGCATTAGTCTCGGTGGCATTGATCCAGTTGGTTCTGTATAATAAAAAAAACTCATCAGTTATCTTTTTTGGTAGTTTACAGCACAAAACATAAGCAAATTGTTTAGAAAAAGCTGTTAGTTATGGAGACATTCAAGTCATTGCAAACATTTAATTTCTGAAGAAAAATAATAGGTACTTTGAATATAATTGAAAAGGCCAGTAGATGAATATCTAATCAAGTTCCCGTTTTACCCCATTTTAGGAGTGAAATAATTAATTTTTTATATGTTTGACCCGATTCCGCATTTCTACGCATCAAGACGAAGAGAATGAGTGGTCGATCATTAAAATCGGACAACTTTGATTTTTCGACCCAAAAAAATGGCAAGTGGTACCCCTTTCCATTTTTTTGGCGAAAAAATAAAAGTACTCCGATTTTCAAGTTTGACCACTCATTCTCTTCGTCTTGATGCGTAGAAATGCGGAATCGAGGCACCACCCAGAAAAATTCACTTTAAGACCCTCAAAAAGGGGTAAAACTGGATACACATTACGAATTATCATCCCCTTGACTTTAAACTCCTATAACTCATGAACGGCTGGTCCAATGACCGTTTTTAGGGACATTTTAGAAGCATTAAAATCTAAGCTATCTAACAATATCCATAGATTGATAGGAAAAAATTTATTTCACCCTTAAAATCGCTAAAATATTTAAAAAATCACATTTTTTTGGGACTTTGCCAACTAATTTGGCCATTTTGAGAGTGAAAGAAATTTTTTAAACGTTTTTTATGGATATGAATCTTTAGCTTAAATTCTGAAGTTTCCAGATAGTCCTCAAAAATCATCATCTGATGATTTTTCCACGAGTTATAAAGGTCCAAAGTCGAAGTCAGGGTAAAAAAGTCATCTACTTTCAACTTTGGACCTCTATAACTCTTATACAAATTATCCAATAATGATTATAAGAAGGTATTTGGAAACTTTAGAATCTAAGCTAAAAGTACATATGCATAAAAATCGTTAAAAAAATTTCTTTCACCCTTAAATTTGCCAAAATAGTTGGCAAAGTCCCAAAAGAATGTGATTTTTTTTCATATTTTTGCAATTTTAAGGGTGAAAGAAATTTTTTAAACACTTTTCATGGATATGTATGTTTAGCTTAGATTTTAATGCTTCTAAAACGTCCCTAAAAATGGTAATTGGACCATCCGTTCATGAGTTATAAGGATTTAAAGTCAAAGGGACGATGAGTTGTAATGTGTATCCAGTTTTACCCCTTTTTGAGGGTGTTAAAGTGAGTTTTTCTGGGCGGTGCCCCGATTCCGCATTTCTACGCATCAAGACAAAGAGAATGAGTGGTCAAACTTGAAAATCGGAGAACTTTTATTTTTTGGCCAAAAAAAATTGAAAGGGGTACCACTTGCCATTTTTTTGGGTCGAAAAATCAAAGTTGTTCGATTTCAATGATCGAGGACTCATTCTCTTCGTCTTGATGCGTAGATATGCGGAATCGGGTCAAACATAAAAAAAATTAATTATTTCACTCCTAAAATGGGGTAAAACGGGAACTTGCTATAATTTTAGCAAACTTAGTTCCCCAAACGTTTCCCATAGTCTCACGAAGAAAACTTTTTTACTGGCGAATATTTGAGGAACCTTTGGCGAACAAAAATTTTTTATACAGGTAGTTTCATGATTAATTACCTGTTACAGTCAAGGTCACATGTTCGCTTTTTCTCCTTTCCCCCGTCAGTGTGTGTAGAGTTAAACACCAATAGAGAGCTCTACCATCATCAGCTCGTGTGTTTCTTATGTGCAGATCGCCCTGAGATGTAACGACAAATCTTCCTCCTGTGAGATAATTATTATTTATGAGAAACGTAAAAGAATTAAGAGAAGAAAATATTTTCTTTGATAGGGTCACTTGGTAATGGAGATATAAGAGAAGGATCCGTTACTTCGAAGAAGGAGGATGAAGTGGTGAGGGATGGGTTAGGGAATGAAAGAGGTACTGGGGTGAGTATTGGAGCGTGCGTCTGCTGCGAAGAAGCAATTTAATATCGCCTTCGCGAATAGAATAAAAATACGGAGATAAATAGTCGTATTCCCACAATTTCTACGTGTTATATAATTTTTCTTGTATACACACGTGCCACATTATACATATATATCTGTGTAGTTTTATTTTTCAAATTTTCACTCTACACTTCTCAGTACATTTATTCTTTTATCAATTTCTCTTTCCCTCCGCTTTCTTTATTTTTCTTCTCTCAAGCTATACTATTACATCCTCTGTTATTCAACAGAAAATACATTTTCGGTGTTATTGTGGCTTTAAATTGAAAGTTGATAAAAATTAATAAAACATCAACAACAATAATGAATCATTCACTCATTCTAAAACGGTATTTCTTTATTTTCATTTAAGAAATTAATTTTATTTGCGTCATTGGTGGAAGATGCTGTTTATTTTGAATCAAGTGCAAATATTACATTAAAATTGTTTTTATTCTTTTAAAAATGAGGAGATAAATAGGTTAATTCAGGACTTTATAAGGTCTGGAATTAACCTGAAATAGAATTTCGGAAACCTAGTTGGGCCTGTATATATCAATGCCTTGTTTGCAAAGTGTATTTAGTTTCCACACGGAAAGAGACTGTTGGAAACGATCTATTCCAAAACTTTTGACGATGATCACCTAAATTACAGCCCCTTTGTCTCAGCTTTACTGTGACAAACTATTTAAAACACGAAGCTTGATATCTATCCATCATCATTCGTGTCTAATAAATACTTCAGGTAATTTATCATTTTAAAATTTTTGTTTTTCAAATAATAATAAAAAAAATTTTTTTTTTTAGTAGACAACTGGATTGATAAGCTAAAGACGACTATCGTCGTTTTATGATCTTATATAAAAATGAGTCTTTGAGAGGCGAATAAATGTAATTACAAGATAATCAGCATATTAAAAAGCTAGAGCACGTGCTGGAAGTTTGAGGGATGAACATATGGGATTACTAGCTTTGCAAAACAAACGTATCATACTTCAACATGCTACGATGCATCTTTACACATTCATCGTTCACTGTGAGCTGCAGAAGCGAATGAGAATATGAGAAAGAGTGAGAGAAGCAATGATAAAAGACAAAAGTAGGTAGGGACTACTATAGCATATAACCTGTTACATTTCCCCAAGCTGTATAAATATGTATGGAACATGAATGCTCGAGCATACACTAGGCAGGAGATTCAAATCAAAGGTGTAGAGTATAGAAATGATAAAGCGCTAGCTATAGTTTTGTTTTAGACCCCTTAAATTCATGGAGTTTGCTGAAAGTGATGGCTAACTGCATTAATACAAAACCTAGAGCATTTCTCAAACTATATGAAGTCAATTTGCTGGATAATTTGCTACTCCACGATGCAGTTTCATTTTTTTATGTTTGCAAACTACCTCGTAGTCATCTGTCATTCATAGCTTGTGTGAATATTTAAATGGGATGAAATATCAGAGTAAATATTTCCATAGTTTTGATGGTTATTCATAATCAGTGTAAAGTAAATTTACATTTATTATGATAAATGAAAAATATTCATTTCATTCTCATTACTTGATTGGAAATTTTATTCCTACTACTTACAATCAAAAACGTATCAAAAATTAGATTTATTTTTTAAAAATATTTTTAAATATTTCTTTTTCTATATATAATTAAATATTTAATATTTTATAGAAATGTCGTCTAATAATTTAAAAATTAATTATTTTTTTTTATAGAGAAATAAAAATAAGATAGGAAGATGATTTGAATGAAAAATTACTTCAAAATAAAACCGTCAAAGGGTGTTGTTTTACAAATAGAAAAAAGAACAAAAGCAATGAACAATTGTTGAGAGAAAAAAAAAATAAAACAAGAGAATTCACTTGGATGTATTCATATATGTCAGTAGAAGTACAACGTCCCCTAGTAAAAGGTCGAGAATGGATTATAATAAATATTAAACTATTGTTCATAATAAAATGTAAACTGAATGACTTGAATTAGTTGATAAAAAAGGGGAACATTCAGATTTTTATGTCACACAAGTGGATTTATTTGATTTCCATCGCCTATGTCTATTGTTTTCGTCAGCTTTGTTCAATTTTTCTCTCAAAAAGTATGACCTTTGGGAAATATTTTTCTGAAAGTTTTAAAGTTAAGACTAAAAATAAATAAATAAGATAACTCGACATGAAACATTGTTATGTCTAATAAAATAATAATATGATTAACGTAATAAAGAGATTATAAGAGAATCATGGTGATTGTCAACGCGAATATTATACCATGAGCAGTGAGATTGAGAGGCTCAGCAAAAAGCTTATATAGTTTCTTCAACGTTACTATTCATGTATACATCTCCTTTTCTTCTAGTAACACCCATTTAAAGTTGTTTTTATCATCTCTTTTATTTTCTTAACTGCTTAAAAAAATGTCTAAAATAATTCAAAATACCAACTAAGTGTTTGTCCATTTATTTCTAATTATCTTATCATAAACAATTACAGAGATGACTAAAAATTTTAACAAAGTGGATTCTAAACTAAAATCATTGCTATAATTACAGATGTTTAGGATAATAAAAAATTGATTGACAATTAAAATTCATTTCCTGGCTTTTTAAATTAAGAAGTATTTTAAAATAATTATACTAAGAGTGTAAGGTTTTTCTTAAACTCTTTAACTGTAATTAAGTTGTAAAAACTACCAAGCTAACTCAGTAAACATTCCTTACTGAAATCGGGTCAAATAAACTAAAAAATTTGATCAACTGAACTCCTTTAACATTCTCATCATTGTGAACTACTTGACTTTTTCGAGAAACATAAAAGTTTCAATTAAAAATAACATATTTCAATTTTAAAATGAAGACTAGCTTTTGGAAATGAATTTGTTTTTGATAAAAATGTCTAATAAAAATAATTATCTAACAGAGTTGGTTTTGAAGTGATTGATGAACAATCGATTGTGTTCAATAAAACACTTTGAACTGTGTTATTTTAATTCATCTTTATATTTTGAATTAATGATCTCAAAAGATACAAATGTTTATGAATGTAAGTAGTATAATAAGGGGTAAAATGGTAATAATAAACTTTACCAGTATCTATGCTTCCAGGTAGTAAAATGGCGTCATCTCTGTACCAGGATGTGACTGTAAGATGTTCCTTGACGTCCTCTCTCGCAGTACAAGACAAGACAGCATTGCATCCTTCAACAACTGGCGATCTGTTTACCCTGACGTCGTATCCTGACACGGTGAGTACTGTAATGGAAAGTTGAATGAAATGAACGTCACACGGACCAACTAAAGTCAGTGAAAATGTGAAAAGGAACAAAAGAAAGTTGTTTAGGGTCTAGATTGGTACTAGTCTAGAACAAAGTAAAAGCTGTAATGCATCATCAGATGGAAAGAAAATTCCAATATGTTATATTCTGGCATACGTTCATTTTTTTCCATGCTTCAAAGCATTCGGTCAAATTTATCGCTGTCGCAAGGAATAGCTCGTGATTGATTGCTATCCAATGAGCTACGACAAAGAGGATCACAGAGATATAGCTTCAGTCAGATAAATCTATATTGCTTGAATCTCATACTATGTGTACTCCATTTTGTTCAACAATCTATCATTTTCTTTTTTTCTTTCATTTGTTAAAATATAAACCACAAAATAGTAATTTTTTATTTACCCATGACACGCAAAAATGAAGGGATTGGTGATAGCGTTGGAAGAAGGATGATAAAGCGATGACGGGGGAAGCAAATAAAATCATGGTGAAACGAGACGGATGATGTAAAATGTGCAAATGAAGCCAATATACGAAAATTTCCATCGGAGCATGGCAAACGTGGAACTCAGTGATATTTTTCCGTTTCACAGGGATTTGAACTCGTCTACGAAGGATGTGAAATTCCTTGAAATACCGAAAATTAACTTTTCTCTAGTCGATATCTACCTTCTAAAAAATTGCCTCACGTATCTCATGAATTTACTCCTACCAACAAAATCCGTAAAGTAGTAAACTTTGTTAATAGTCATACTTTTTTTTTCTCTTTTTCTCTTTTATTTCAGACTAAGGGTAATTGGTAGCAGTTTCATCTAAGAAAAATTACTTCAACTATTATATTAAAATTTTAAATTTATTTTTTATATACTTTAGAAAAATCTATTCCTTAGTAACAATTTTTCTTCATCAATGAACACCATCAGTAGAAAATTCACTGAGATAATTTTTGTTCACATTTAATATCTTTACTAGTGTCAGAGAAGAAAGATATATTTATGAAAGTAGTCATAATTTTTATTCTGAATCCAAGACTTATCTGATGTTTATTTTTACTTAAATTTATTTTTTTTTTTCTCTTTTACCTTTTATATAACTCCTGAAGATGTGAAATAAAAATTCACGTTTTTAATGCATCGTCTGTAGGTCTTTACTTATAACTAAATGCACCCTGCTAAAATCCCCTTTTTGGCAGGTCGTCGTGACCTATATTTTTCCATAGCACTTGGCGAACATTTTTGATTGTACATGATAATACAAAAGTCTTAAAAAAAATATTCAGAATATTATGATGAAAATTGCTGATTTATTATAAATATTATCATGAGACTAAGGGTAATTATTTTAATAACTTTTACGCAATTTATTTAAAAAAAAAAAAAATTAATAATAATGAAGACTTTAATGAATATTTTCTAAGTAAGATAAAAGCGTCGACTAAAAAAAAACCCTCGAGAGTCTTGACGAGAGATCGAGTGGGTGAAATAAGAACAGAGCCAAAGAGAATAAAGGTAAGAGTAAAAGCGAGAAGGGCTGTCACAAAGAATAAAGCTTAACAATGAGTATATGGCCTCTTAAAAGAAAAAAAAAATAAGCCCATTGGAGAGTCGTTTGGTCCAGTGCGATGTCATTTTAGATAAGTTGGTTCCTTTCAATCCCGTTTAGTCGTCTTTAGCCTCTACGTTCTCTTACATTAGAATCATGAGATCTTGGAGTCGTGATAAAATGTCGTGATAGACTATAGAATGAAGGAAAACATTCAAGAGTCGCGCAATCACTTATGCCTTTTGGATGCAGAGGGTTTTATGAGAATAAACTACTGCAGTTTGTGACATACAGTTCTTAGTTGCCTGAGGATACAAATTGAATTGCCAAGAAGAGGAAAAAGTTTTCTTCTAATTAATTATGCTCTTTGAGTGAGACTTTTCATCAGTAAATCAGAAGAGAGAAATTTGTGGTTACACATTCTAAAGTGTTGAAGTATTGAGAGTAGATTGTTTTCTGTGATTAATGATTTCATTTAAATTAATGGTTTTTTATATTATTTCATTTTTTTAAGTCATTCATTTTCTTTTATATGAAATTGATATTTTTAATAATATTACAACGAATTTTAATTTATTATATAATTGATAAAAAAGAATAATTACTCATTTATTAGAAAAAATTATAATTATTTAATAACTGGAAATATCGTTTAGATTTCAAAGCAATTTTTTTTATAATAGATCATTAAAAAGAATTAATTAAAAAAATATTTATTCATCAGTATTTGTAATATTCGTTTGCTTCAATTGGATGATCAAAGATTGTAATCAATTCCCTTTAAACATTTACCATTGAAACTAACGGTAATTTTTTCTATCTGTATCTACTCGTTTTAATCTTTTCCTTTACAGCGATGAAAAAGTGGAATTAAAGTGAAATGGTAAAAAGGTAAGAGAAAAAAACTAAAATTTAGATGAATGCTAGGTTATTCGTTTAAATAATTAAATGCGTAATTACAAGCTAAGAAATATATTTTAATGAACGTTACTTTGCAGAGGGTGTCTTTTGAAGAAGGTCACATAAACACAGTACTTGATGTCTTTCCACCGACTGAAATATTAGAGAGAAGTAAAAGAGAAGTGAAAAGGATTCGAATAGGACAGTCATGCCGGAAGAACTGAAATAAGACATGTTGGACACTTGTCACAGACTTGTTTGTCCTCATGATTCTCTTGCAGTTGTGTAAATAGGCAGTAGTTTGTTCTTGTTTAGTTTTTTTATACTTTTGTCATTTATTCTTGTCTTAAGATTCTGTTAGAACCCGTATAAAGAAATTTCATTCCCCTCATAAGACTATAGAAAACGTTTGGGGACCGAATTGATTTTTTTTGAAAATTTTCACATGACAAAATGAATGAAATGATAATATTTTGGCGAAAAGCTGTAAATTATAAAAATGTGGATAACTTCTATGCTAATAGTGGTATGGGGTTGATCAAGGGCTCATTTAAAAGATCTTGACGGAAGGAAAAGAGTCGATATAGTAAAAATCATAATTGTCGCGAAACTCATGCTAAAATTAATGCAAATTCCCGTTTTACCCCATTTTAGGAGTGAAATAATTAATTTTTCATATGTTTGACCTGATTCCGCATTTCTACGCATCAAGACGAAGAGAATGAGTGGTCGATCATCGAAATCGGACAACTTTGATTTTTCGACCCGAAAAAATGGCAAGTGGTACCCCTTTCCATTTTTTTTGGCCAAAAAATATAAGTACTCCGATTTTCAAGTTCGACCACTCATTCTCTTCGTCTTGATGCGTAGAAATGCGGAATCGGGGCACCGCCCGGAAAAACTCACTTTAACACCCTCAAACAGGGGTAGAACTGGATGCACATTAACAATCATCATCCCTTTGACTTTAAATCCTTATAACTCATGAACGGATAGTCCAATTACCGTTTTTAGGGACGTTTTGAAAAGCTGAAAATCTAAGCTAAACATATATATCTCTGAGAATTGTTTAAAACATTTCTTTTACTCTTAAAATCGCTAAAATATAAAAAAAATCACATTTTTTTGGGACTTTGCCAACTATTTTGGCAAATTTAAGGGTAAAAGGAATTTTTTTAACGATTTTTATGCATATGTACTTTTAGCTTAGATTCTGAAGTTTCCAAATACTTCTTGAAAATTATCCTTCGATAATTTTTCCACGAGTTATAGAGGTTCAAAGTCGAAAGTAGATGATTTTTTTACCCTTACTTCGACTTTGAACATCTATAACTCTTATACAAAGCATCCAATAATAATTATACGGAGGTATTTGGAAACTTCAGAATCTAAGCTAAAAGTACATATGCATAAAAATCGTTAAAAAAATTTCTTTTACCCTTGAATTTGCCAAAATAGTTGGCAAAGTCCTAAAAAAATGTGATTTTTTTCTATATTTTAGCGATTTTAAGGGTGAAGGAATTTTTTTTAAATAAATATATGGATATCGTCAAATACCTTAGATTTTAATGCTTCTAAAACGTCCCTAAAAACGGTCATTGGACCAGCCGTTCATGAGTTATAGGAGTTTAAAGTCAAGGGGATGATAATTCGTAATGTGTATCCAGTTTTACCCCTTTTTGAGGGTCTTAAAGTGAATTTTTCTGGGTGGTGCCTCGATTCCGCATTTCTACGTATCAAGACGAAGAGAATGAGTGGTCAAACTTGAAAATCGGAGTACTTTTATTTTTTCGCCAAAAAAATGGAAAGGGGTACCACTTGCCATTTTTTCGGGTCGAAAAATCAAAGTTGTCCGATTTCGATGATCGACCACTCATTCTCTTCGTCTTGATGCGTAGAAATGCGGAATCAGGTCAAACATATGAAAAATTAATTATTTCACTCCTAAAATGGGGTAAAACGGGAATTTGCATTAATTTTAGCATGAGTTTCGCGACAATTATGATTTTTACTATATCGACTCTTTTCCTTCCGTCAAGATCTTTTAAATGAGCCCTTGATCAACCCCATACCACTATTAGCATAGAAGTTATCCACATTTTTATGATTTACAGCTTTTCTTAATTTTTCCATACGGAGAGATCATTAAGACTGGTCTCTATTGTTTTATCTTTCTAACCAATAGCTGAATGTTACTAATTTTCTACCAACTAGTGAGTATTAATTTATCAGTCAATTTCCCGAGTAAAAATAAATGGACCCAAATGGAGCTCGAAGCACGCCTAATCTCAGCCTAAAAATATTTTCTGTGAGTCTGAAAAATGATTTAGGCTCGAATCGGACCTCCTCTGGGCGTGCCCAAAAACTGATTATTTTTACTCCGATTTTTAAATAATTAGTCATTAATTCCACACATTAATTGCATTTTAATTCAATTAATATTTCATCAACTAGACTTTCCCAATCTAGCATCCAAAATACAATTGTACTGATAATAATCATCCTCATCAATAAACCATTCTTGGTTTGATAACTTCATGCAGCATAAATTACCAGAATCAGAATCTATTTAGATTAGAAGAAGATTAATTCGTAAAGTACTTATCCAATTTTTCAACAATTTTAATTCCAAGTCTAATCTTTATTATTCAAATACTCTAATTAATGAGTCAAAAGCTAAATAATGAATGATAATTTAATAGAGTTATAGTTATTTACTTTTTATTAGCTACCCAAGATTTGTTTCCCAATAAACATATTTAATACTGTACTGAGTTTCAAAGTTTGCTAAAGAGGCAGTCATTTAATATTTAATGAAACTTTACTTAAATGCTAGTATACCAAATATATATTCAGAAATAAAATACTTTACTGACTCTCTCTTTTTTTTTACTACTATTGACGTATACTTCATAAGCAAACATTTTAATATGTTCACATATTATCAATAACGTATAGAAATATTGAAAAAATTTTAAGAGGAATTTTTTGTTATTATTTAGCGAACAGGAGTAAACGGAGAAAAAGCTACGTATACGTATCGATTGGTTTCTGTCCATGAAGAACGTTGAGTTTTCAAGTGTGCCGACAAGCTCAATGTCCCAGGCAAGAATCCTGATAACAACCCTAGAGCTGTCTTTCATCGAAAAATAAGCAATACTATGGCTGTCCAGTTTCATTATGTTGAAAATGCATTCTCTCAAATATCATGAAAGACTCTGTCAAGTGTATCGACTATCTATTTTCTTTTGACTATGGTTCTACTACTTATAACACAGGCTACATAATGTTAACAGACCATAACTTGTTCTTTTGATATATTATATTCATAAAAACAAAAATAATGCACTTGGGAAATACATGTAAAGTGAATGCATCTTGTCGTAGCCGCACTTGAATATGTTATAAAAAAAAAAATGCTTCGTTTTTTGAAAGTTCTTTGGAGAAATACGAATAATAGTCGTTATATAATCGAGCATCATAGAAATTGAATGGAAAAAAATTGAGAAAATATTCGAGAAAACACGTTGTCACAATGTGAAGCTTATCACACAAAGTAGCACGTAATCAGCTATTTGAATAGCATCTCACGTAGGCTATAGCAGCTAAAGTTTTGTCCGATCGTTTCTCTACTACGTTTATGATTGAATATTTTTTAAAATGCTTTTTTATAGAACTGGAAAATTGTTCTCGACTTCACTGCTTTCGTAACGTGTAAAATCAAACAACAATAACATATACAGTATTTAATAAATGTAGTTGATGATGAATATGTTATCAATTTTATGCAAAAAAAAATTTTTTAATATTGGTATTTGATAATTATGAATAAAAAGTGATTAATTTTAATAAATCTGTATAGTTAAAACATCTATGAATATAAGTAGAAGAGATTGTGATATTGTTTGATTAAAACTATTGTTATATATATTCTAAGTAGACTGATAACAAGTTAGAAGTTTAGCAAAACACTACAAATCAAAACATTTAAATAATACATCAGAAGTACATCAAATTCAAAATTACTATGAACAAATTTTAGATTTGATAATACTTAAAAAGGGATTGAAAATAATAGCAAGGTATTATAGTTTGTTGATGGTAATTCAACATTGAATACATTTCAGTTGTGTTCATTCCAACCCACTTGAAACTTACAGTGCAATAATTTAACTTCAATCAAAGTTATTCTGAGGTAATAAAAGTGTTTTTAATTTTGGAATAATATATATTCACACTATAAATTAGTTGAAAAAATACATATATATTCCTGTATCTAAATGAGTTGTAAAAACTATATCGAAGTGTATTTTATCGTTTACATTGTTGGTAAAGATGAAAGCACGTCGTCGTATTCGAATTCAATTGCCACGAGGGATGTAATTGGATCTGAGTGTCTTCAGGGTTGAAATTCAATGTAAGGAAGTGGCTTGATATTTCACGGACGTAGTTGAGAGGTTGGAGATTAGGAAAGAGGTGAGATTACCTCCCGGCACGTGCAATACTGCACCCGGAAATTTACGGTGTGAAAATGAAGGTGGGTTGAGGTATATATGTAGATACATAAAGTGTACTTGTTAGCATAGATAACGCGAGATTAACATAGGATACAGGCGATTACTTGATTTTCAAAATTTCTCAAAATCTTACTCTTCAGATACATGAGATAAATAGATTTATAAATAGTTGTTAATAAACTAATTTTAGTTATCATTTTTATTCTAATAAATCATTGATGATTGTTACAGGATAATTCATTAATGACTTACCGGCTCGAAGAGTGACTTCTCTTGATAGGACAGTTCCAACAGAATTACTGGCTCTGCATCTATATCTTGCATTATGAACCTCTGCTCGAAAATCCTGAGCGAGAAATGGAGGAAAGTAGAGCGTCCCGTTACCCAGTAGTTGTCTGAAATAACAAACCGTCAAGGTTCTATTTGGCTCTTGATAATATTTGCTTTTACTTCATATGTGATTGAATTAACTCAATAGTTTTGTCCTTCATATTATCTACTACTGATTAATTCGATCGTGGAACTTCCATACAATAGAATTGATGTTCTCACAATGTATTGTTGATAAGAATTTTAAAAATGTAATTGTTGATAAATGATTGTTATTTTATATGATATGGGTAATTAATTAGCTATAATGATTATACAGCAGAATTGGTTTTAATGTGAACAATTAAATTTAAAATTATTTCATATTTGATCAAGCATGATAAAAAATTATTATTTTCGATGAATTAAAGTACTATGTATAATTTGATGCAAGGATACATTGCCAATTCAACTATGAATATTCATAGAATTCCCATTTCTGCCTAACATTGAGCAGATATTAGAGCTGGTAATGATGATAGAGTGAATGATATCACTATGAATATACCATATGGATTTATTAATTGAAATAGAATAAAAATATTGTGGAATTATTGAAATATGATGAATGTTTAAGGGAAGAAATATTAAATCAAACTGGAAAAAAATAAAATCGAATTTTGACGCCGGTTTAGACTTTAATTTTAGATTTGTAAAAAGTGCAACTATGTTTCTGCGTAATAGCCACGTTTTGCTCATTATTGAAAACGAACGGATGCATCGAAGAAAGCCGTCCTGCTTCCGGAAATTGTGCAGACTCGCTCGAAAATTTAAAATGTCTATTGAGTTCGTCTATGGAAAAAGTTTCAGCTTTTTTAACATCTATGATGACAACTGTGACTTTATACATACAAATGCATGGAAAAATTTTTCGTTGAAAATGTCTCTGGATAAAGTTTAGGTGAAGAGAGTTCTTTGACGAATATCGAAGTAGAAACTGCAACCACAATGCTATATGAGTACGCGGCGAAACCTGAACTAGAAAGAAAGAAAAATCTCTTTCGCTGTAGTTATCACAGTCACTCGGGGATGTATAGAATTTTTCTATGTCCATCGAAGGAATTCTATACATTTTTGAGTAACTTTGTAAAACATTAAAAACATATATATATATAGATGAAATAGTGTGTCAGCATAACTCTAAAGGATATCTCATGTTGTCACTAGAAAACCTCAACAATTATTTGATGAAAAATTATTGCCATCTTATGGAGATTTTTTTCTTCATTTAATGGAATATCCAACTCATAAATTTCAACTAGAGAATGAGTTTACAATACCTAAAAATACTCTACACATAACAATAAAATTTATCAAGCATAAAAATAATTAGGATTTGAAGATATCAATGTAATCTCTAAACCACAAATTATTTTTATTATTATTATTATTTTAGTCCATTTGACCCTTGAATAATTACTATTGGTCTGAATCTAAAAGCGCATAATCAAAGAAGAATATATATTTCTATTCGAGGTAGTATGACGTGGAAAAATTGTAGTGTAAGCTACAGATAAAATAGTTTTCAAGTAATTCGTCCACATGTCATAATGTCCCTCAAGGAACACTCATATGTCGACGTTGAAAAGTCTAATGGATTATCTAGTGAAAAATCATTGAGATTGATTTTTTCGCTTTGCTTTTTCAACTCTAAAAGGTCATAAAAAAAAGAAAAAGCTGCAATTTGTTTTATGTTCATAGATTAAGGATTTTCTGTGGTGAAATCATCCCTTAAAGTTTTATAGTATGCCCATTTCGAGAACGACTATACTACGGTTGATGGAGAATATCTTGACTGTTTTCAACTTGGACACTTTTTATCCTTCGAAAACAAACAAAAGGATGATTCTTGTTGGTGGTATTGATTTTTTCACTGTCCACAATACACTTGAATTTTATTCCAATCAATATATGGATGTGGTTTATTTAAAACAGCAATAATTTGACAAGACTGGTGAATGATTATCTAGAAGATGATTAACTAATGCATATTCCAATTATTGAATATACTCCATTCCCTTCAACATGTCAAATATTCAGGAATCATCTGTTTTCTCTTTACCTCCCGTCTAAGCAGAAGGATATTGAGAAGGAAAACCGTTGAAGCATTTCGATTAACTTGAGGAAATGATTTCCCAGTTACACGAAGACTTATTCTAGTGTCTAAGAAAGGTGTCAAAGAGTAATACGAAAAGTAATGATGAGATGAAGAAATAAAAAAGCTTACCTGAGACCTGGAACAGCTGTAACTATTCTCTGATCTGGACTAGTAATCCATGTAACATGAGTCGTAGGACTTCCATGAGCTGAGCAACTTAATTGTGAACCTGTTGTGTTGGAAAATACTAATGTGCTAGGTGGTTCAAGCACGAACACTGGACCCTGCTGACCGAGTACTGCGACACAGCTGCAAGCTGAAATTAAAATATACTTTTTCTTTTTTTCGAATAATCAATGTCATTTTAATTTTTAATTCTCTCCTGAGAGGTCAGGATTAAAATTTGAGATGAATGTGCCTAGTGCTGATCATTCTCTTGAGATTTATGTACCTCAAGGTGACAGAAGTTCCCATTAAATATGTAACCAACCCAAGAAATCATCTATTTAACTTTATTCTAATTATCTTTATTAATTATGACATTTGAATAGCTGACATTTTTTAACAGTTCTTTTTTATTAAATAAATAAGTAGTTGCAAATTTTTTTTTCCTGATCCTAAACCACTTCAAAGTTCATTGTTAATATGTTCACTTCTATCTGAAGATAATCCTGCCTATAAAAGTTTGAATTGAGCATTGTGAAGGCTATGTTTCAATTTCTAATAAACCATCCTTAAAGATGTATCCAGCTTTGAAATTAAATTACCAAACTCCAAGATGATAGCACTGAATAATTAAAATATCATATCGTTGTTGAATAATATACTGAAATAATTCAGCAGAGCCTAACTGAAACTAAAATAGGATTCATGACCCAGTAAGTACGACGAGTAATGGGTCAGTGAATAATTGGTGAGTAGAAGCAAGTTGATGGATGAGGGAGAAAATAAACAGAGGAGAGGCGATTGGTAGAAGGGATCCAGAGGTTAATCCTCGATTACGTTTATCCATATTGTAATGAGGTGAGGATTGTCTGGTTTTCATTTGGACTAATAGTCAAATAATTTTATAGCAAACACAATTCTGTGAGAGATTATACCGAATAAGCGAGTATTAGGTTATTTAAATAAATTGGTTCAGCTTCTCTGCATTTTCGTGTGACAGGTCGATGGATATGACCCGAGACGAAAATATCGAGATTCGCTTTAACGGAAAATCGATATCTAGAGAGTACCATACAAATAATTCATCGGTTGAATTATTTAGCTGGTCGACTTCTCCTTCTCTCTTTCTCTCACTGAGTCAAGTTTAAAATAAAGTTCAACTAATCTTATAAATGTTAAGAGATGTGATAATTATTGTGAAAAATAATCAGAAAAAAAGTAATGATAAATTAATAGTTTTAAGCAAGTAATTGAACGAATTTAACATCACCTCTTGGGTTTTCTAAGTTTAGATCAGGTTTTAATTAAAAATCATTACAGAATTCTTCTGGAATGAATTAATCTAATAATTTTCGAGTGCCAGAAATACTTCACCTAGTATTTCTGGTTTATCAAAAGGTAATAATACTCCAAAACATCTCTAACGCGAAAAATAGTTGGAACTATGAACAGACTCAGAGCCAACCATCACAGTCTTGCTGGCTCTTTCTTTCAAGTTAATTTATTAAGCCCATCTAATTGTAATTGTGCTATCACACATGAGACGCAAATCATGTCTTGTGATATTACCCATTATATAATAAGGAGAGAGATATATTCATATCAAAAATGAATAGACTAGAGCTGAATCTTCATGAAGACATAGTAACGTACTTGAAGAAACTGCTTAATCCAGGATACTTTCTAATTTACATGAACACTCAAGAGGATTAGATCTTATTTATGTAATTCTAAAAATTCTTTTTCAATTTTAAGTAATCCATATGTTGATGTATGGCTGGATAACTTCTTTTCAGAAAATGTTGAAGGCTTTCAACATTTAAAAATTACGAGATATTTTTAAAATGTTGTTATTATACTATTATCTTTCTTATAAATACATTTAGATGCTTCAATGTTGATGGATATTAATTAATTGTTTGATATCTTAAAAAAAAATGTCTAAATGTTTGGAAATTCATCCAGTTGTAATCTGGACATTATTCAGAATTTCAATCAGATAGCCTAGACTTTATCACTGGCTTGATTTTACATCCATGTAATCCATGTGTGGTGATATATTTCAGCTCAAACTCATCAGCATTAAACATAAGGTCTTATATTTAATACTCAACTTTATTTGGCTCAGGTTCCTCATGAACGTGCAAAAACTATATCGGTATGTGAAGACATATTTCATGATTGAGAAAGTTTATCTCTTGTGTAAAAAGAACGTAAACTAGAGTAGAACTTCCAATATCACTAGTGATAGCTGCATAAAAATCGATGGTCTTGCGGGAAAGTATATCCTTGTGTATACTGCTGGAGGACTATCCATTTATTTTCTCTACTTGAACGGAAAGTTGACTTGCAAGAAAGTCTTGCTGATTTCCCAAGTATACTGCATGAAAGTTTACTTCGTCAAGTCAAGATGGTACGAAGGGGTGTGACAAATATGACTCGTGCCTACATGTTGATGTAGACTTGGAACGTTTTCAAGTCAAATAATTTTTGACATTTCATTATAAAATTTGATATTAAAAATAAAGAAGTATTCTCATGATAAGAAATGTTAAAAATGTGACATGTTCAATAAAAATTAACGACAGACTTTCCATAGTCAGCAATTTTCTATATTCAACAACTCAATTTGCATTAAAATTACATATTGACAGATTTTCACTCTTTTATTTCGACACACATCACAAGAATTTCATTTAATTATTATTTACGGCATAGATGAGTGTAGCAATTTCATGAAACACGCTTGACATTCGAGACGAGTTTAAAAAGAATTTACTATTTCTTCTATTTGTCATGACATTTCTAAGGGAAAAAAAATAAACAGTCAGAAACGTACAAGCGAATGTCTCACGACGTCTCTACTTATTCTCGTTCTTATTTTGTCAATTTAATTTCCTCGGCACCTTTACTTTTCTTCGCAGCACCGCTGAATAGAGCTTAATTTTTCTGAGCTGAGCACGTGCGAGACCTGACTCAAGATGAAGACGAAGAAGGAGGAGAAAAAGAAAAAAACAAAGTGGAAAGCATAGAAAACGGAGTAAGGGAAAAAGGTTCCGGTAGACCGAAGAAAGGATGAATGGGCCAAGTCTGGCCCTGAAAATGCAGACTGAGGTGATTTCACATTCATGTCACGATCGCCCGATCGCTGCCCATTATCATCGTGTCAGTCACTCCATTACTCACGTTAATTTACTTTCCGATCAATTTTTATTGTAACCGCCGCTACGTAATTAAATATTTTTAGAATCATTTTGTTTTAAGTTAAAACTTGTTTAGTATCCACATATTGGTAATCAACATAGTAATGGTTTTTTTTTCATTTCTCCAATAATTAATTCTCCTAAACAATATGGTAAAACATCTTTTTCTTCTTTTAACTTGTAGAAATATGATCTTTCAGATCAAAAAAAAAAATTGTCAACTATGAGCCTGTCAATGCCAAACTACCTCAAAGGAAGGAGGAAGATAAAAAGTTTTCCATTTATCGTAAGATAAACTTGTAAATTTGTGAATTCATCGTATCAAGATATGAATGATGAGAAAACACTACAAGTATAAAGAAAGGCCAGCAAACAAACCGAGAAAAGATGACAGTGTAGAAGAAAAGTGAAGAGACGATGATGTAGCAAAGGCATACAGACTACTTTGAAATCGTTTATTTTTCTGGCAATTATTTTCTACTGTGAAAAGAACCCAAGTCTTTTTCACTTGGTATTTATTTCTGTCGTGAATACGTCGCAAAACTTCTCTAGCAGCAGTTCTCAACTGTACACCAAAAAAAAAAAAGAATTCAGATAATTGAAATATGTTACACTAAGTGAAAGAAAGTCAATTGTGTATTTATTTTTTTTTTAAATTTATCTATTAATATTACTTCGTTGACTATACTTTTCGGTGATATAAATGATGAACAGTTGCATATCAAAACTCACAAACAGGTTTAACTTGCGTTCTTCATTTATGCAATTCTGTTGTGCCACTCAGACATTGCAAACTGCTGTCCAAACCTTCAGCAAGTTCAGCTAACTTTAAATACAATTAGGAAATAAAACTTGGGTCGTATAAGTAAATGAATGCAAATCATTTACATGTTGTGTCCTTTTTTTATTTTTATTTTTGTTTATTACTGTAAATAAATAACTCCATTTAATCAGTAAATATTCAAATCAATTCAAGAAACAGATAGAATGTTGAACAATTGAGCGATAGAAAAATGCATTTTTAAAATAATTTTTCAATAAATTATTCACTGGATTAGGTATAATTTGATCAAATATATTGGAAGGTAGAAGAAAAATTTGAAATAAAATTGTGAAAAAAATTTAATTTGTTTCAAACATGAGATAAATTGCAGCCATGTTACAGAGGCCAACCATTTCCTCCCAATGAGGTGGAAATAAAATTTTTTTATTTTATTTTTGGACAAGGCATTTGATTTTTCTGTTTTTTTTTTAAATGGTTTATATTTAAAAATTTATTCAACTGCTATATTGAATTTTTTCTAGCTAACAATGGGATATTTTCATTTTTAATCATCAATTCTCTGAGTCAATGGAATCATTGACTATAGTACAGTGATTGTTCGATGATGAAAAAATAAAATGTGTAGAAAAATTTAAATTTTGATTGAGGATTTGTTTTCACCATCATTCGTATACAAATCACTCGATGAAAATTATCCAAATAAATTTTCCTATATTCCAGAGAAGAATTACATTCTTCATAATACTACATTTTCACTAGTTAATAAAGTAGAGTATAGCAGACTGGAAAATGTGATGGGATTTTTTTTAATGAAAATTCCTCGGCACTCATGCGTTATAATTTCCACTAATTGAAGATCTAGATTAATAAAAACGTATCGCATTTCTAATTAACTATTTTTTTTCAAGCTTTTTTTATTCTTCGGGAAAAAATTCACGAATAAGTTAATGAACTGGCTACTATTATACATATCTAATAAGCATATATGTATTTAAAGCATATTTACTGATGTAGGTACATGGAAGTCATATACACACCCTCGAGTGATGCGTGCATAGGATATTGAGTATCGAGCTTCCGGTTTCCGGCTATAATATCGACTGTCGCCACGTTTCATCATCGGACAATATCCCCGAGAATATTTTTATTTTTCATTTTCTCTAA